CACTAAAATCCTTCTTAGGACAGCCTAAGAACTAGGATAAAAGGTGCTGAAGATTTGCCACATTCGCTATTGGTTTAGTTATCTGACTGCTTTTGTTTTCAAACACCTAGAGATTCTAGCGGGCTCCTGTTCTGTGGCGGACTTAATAGCCACGGAGTGGAGATGACTCACCTGCTTTGCAAACTCTACAGTTCAGCAGAGAAGCAAAAGTAATGGTTCTATTTGGATGAAAGCTCTTTAGAGGTTTTTGATGTTGTCGTCCCTTGGGTTTTCCAGGCCAGCCCTCAGAGGATGTTTTGTTTTCTGAGCGCCCGTGCCTGCAGCTGTGAGCTGCTCCGCGTGGACGGTGGGACCTCAGAGCTCAAACAGCATGCCTTGGCATAGGTTTCAGGGGCACAGAATTTAGCATGTGCTTTCAATGCATTTATAACACAACTTAGCATATTTTTCAATGTAATTTCTTCACTAGCAATCTTAATGAAATAGGCTGATTTGCCTCAGCCTGGTGTGGTGTGAAGAGCATTCAACCAGTGGGGGCTTAGGAACCTGCCTTTCTAGGCTGGCTCTGTCCTGATGCTATTTTGAGCAAGTCAGCTTAAACTCTGAGCCTTATTTGCCATGCGAGGGGGTTGCCAAGGTCTTAAAGGATCCATTCAGCTTGAAAAGTCCACGATGCCATGTTTGACTAGTGTATTTAGGGAGGGTTTCCAGATGGAAAAATACAACTTTCAAAAAGGATAAATACCAAATTATGCATGTGTGAATGAGACCAGCAACTTCCTAGAGACTGGCAGCTCACACATGAGTTTTAAGAAAGTTTTAATTTTTACAATATTTATTTATTTGTTTTGGTTTTTTTGGCCATACTGTGCAGCTTGTGGTATCTTAGTTGCTGGACCAGGGATTGAATCCAGGCCCTCAGCAGTGAAAGCATGAAGTCCTGACTAACCGTTGGATCACCAGGGAATTCCCAAGATTTTATTTTATTTTATTTTTTAAAGAACAGTTTTAGGTTCATTCATGTAGCAAAATTGAGAGGAAAGTAGAGAGATTTCCCATATATTCCCTGCCCCCACCCACGCATAGCCTCCCCCATTGTTAACATCCCCCACCAGATGGTACGTTTGTTACAGTAAGTGAACCTACACTGACACAGCATTGTCACCCAAAGTCTAGTTCACTTTGGGCTTCACCTTTGATGTGCTTTCTATGGGTTTGCATTGTGAATTTTTCGTCACTATGAATCTGCATGGCACTTGGGCAGCTTGGCAGGCACCTACAAAGGAGAAGGGGGTGTGAGGTTGTACCGTCTACACAGGAGAAAGTGGCTTAGTACTTGTTATGCAGAGTGTGGTTGGGTCTGGACCCACCTGGGTGCTGTGCAGAAGCTTAGCGGGCCCTCTCTTGGCCTGGCCCTGCCCGACAGTGCCCATATCTTAACAAGATCCCCCACCTCACGTGTATCATCCCCATTCCTTTCTCCGTGTTGTCCAAGAGAGAACCTTGCACACTTGTGTGAACTTGAGAGCTTGAAAATTGATCTCCAGGGCTTGAAATTAGAGTCTTGGAAGCTTTTTCTGCTGGGAGAGACTCACCTGGGTTTTCTAACCTCTTCCTGAATTAACTACAGAAGTGATTCCCATGGCATTTCGGCGGCTGTCTCTTTAGAGCTGATTTCTTTCTCCTGGGACTTGGCCAAAAGGAGGGGGGAGAAAGCACCACGGCTTGGCTGACCTCACAGTTCTTAATAGGAAGTTTTTGTTCCTCTGTTTTACTAGCCAGGAGAATTTTTCATTCTTTTGATCACTTTGCCTTCCCTGTTCCCTGTCCTTTGTAGGCAGAATTGATTGAATTCTAAGTTGCATCAGATACTTGGGCTCATAAATTAGCCACTAAATGCTTCTCTCTTTGCTGTTTTATCTCTTGCAGTTTTCCAGTTCTCTTATGTTTCTGATTCAGTTAAAAAGGGATCTTGCTCTTTCTTCAGGTCTTCTATTTAAAAATAAATCATAGCAGAGTTTTCGAACACATAAAATAATTTATTCTTAGGAAAATTTTTAAATCTATGTGCTGCATAGTTGCACATATTATTATTTTATTACTTCTCAAATTTATCACTCCTTAACCTTTACTATGGAGGAGAGCAGCTGCTACTTTACTGTATTTGTAGTAAGTATTGTCTTTACTTTTACTCATGCTTGGAATGTGGAAGGTAAATAGTAAAAGCATATAGACCAGAAATGCTAGAGCCTAGTTGTATGAAAGACAACAGATGCCTAATGTATATTGCTATGAAAAAACCTAAAATCGCTGGGAAACAGTTTTCTTCTTTAATTATCTATTCATTTTAAAAGTCAGATTCCACAGAAAGTGAGCAGCTTTAAAGTAAGCAGCTTCTGTCTGGTGTAAATTTGTAACTTTCAGATGCTAACCAAACCAGCTAGAAATAGTTCATCTATATAAATATATGATTGAATATAATTTACAAATTTTAGTGTGTACACACAAGATCTATTCAGTTTTGTCTAAATGCTGCTCTTTCAACTTCTATGCCATGTAGCAAGCTATTTTAATTCTGTATTAGGTCTCTTGTAACCTTACAGATTAAATAGCATTTTTATTGTTCATTTATAGTATCCATGCTTGTTTAGATTTAACCACATTTTATCATTCCTTTATTCTCTGTTTATGTTCAGATCTTCCCTTCAGGATAATCACCTTTTCTTTTGATGTATATCCTTGTTTAGAGAGACTCTTCTATTGGTCTTCTGTTAGTATAACCATTTTTTAAAAAAATCTGAAATTGTCCTTATTTTTAAAAATAGAGAGTACTGCTGGTTATTCAAGTCTAGATGTCAGATGTTTTCTCTCAGCATGTTGAAGATATTATTGTTTCACTGTTAGTTGACTCCTAGTTCTGTGAAGTAGTTATGTGATGGTTAATTGCCATTCCTTTTCTCTTAACTACCTGCACAATTATTATCATTTATTTATTTGGTGTTTGGTGTCCTATGGTATCATAATGTGTGTCGGTATGGGTTTTTAAAAAAATTCACCTGATTTGTGATTCTTTGTCTTCCTGAATTGAAGGATTCCTGTCTCTTATTGAAGAGTTCCTAGCACTATCTCTTTTAATATTGCCTCCACTCAATTCCCTCCATTACTTCTTTTAAAACTTTGATCCAGTGTGTGTGGTACTATCTCGTTCTGCCTTCTATATGTTCTTCACTGCTTTCTTTTGTACGTCTCCTCCTTTTGTTTCTCTGTGCTCCATTCTGGATAATTTCCAGGTCTGTTCCCCAGTTCACTAAACCTCTCTTCAGCTGTGTCTGAGTTGCTGTTTATTGTGTATTTTATATTGCATATTGAGTTTAAAGGGCTTCCCTGATAGCTCACTTGGTAAAGAATCCACCTGCAATGCACGAGATCCTGGTTTGATTCCTGGGTCGGGAAGACCCCCTGGAGAAGGGATAGGTTACCCACTCCAGTATTCTTGGGCTTCCCTTGTGGCTCAGCTGGTAAAGAATCCACCTGCAATGCGGGAGACCCAGGTTTGATCCCTGGGTTGGGAAGATCCCCTGGAGAAGGGAATGGCTACCTACTCCAGTATTCTGGCCTGGAGAATTCCATGGACTGTATAGTCCATGGGGTCACAAAGAGCCAGACATGACTGAGCAACTTTCACTATTCACTATTGAGTTTACAATGTTTAATTATTATATTTTTTCATTTCCAAATGTTCTTTTGGTTGTTTTTCAAATCTTTCTGGTCATTTTTTTTTTCATAGACTCTTGCTCCTTATTCATGTTTTCAGTTCTTTCTTTATTATTTAAATGAATTAGACATACTTTGAAAAATGTACACCATCATTCCAATATCTGAAGTCATTACAGTTCTGATACTGTTTGTGTGGATTTCTCTTTTCACTTTTGGGGGAGGTTTCTCTTGACTCTTTTTCATAGTACCTGAATTCTTATGTATTTTGTGATTTTTAACTTTGCACTCATGACTGAGCATTAAGCTGACTGGTGCAGTGTCCCTCTAGGCTTTCTATTTAAATATTCCTCTAAGACCTGTGCCCTGGGCCTTCATCACGGGTCTGGGCCATTGTATTTCCTGCCTCTCTGTACAGTATATCTGAATCATAGGTGGAAACACCTCAATCACTTAAATGATCATGACAGCTATCCAAAGGATGAAGAATATGAAAGTTTGAGAGGATGATAGAATGCTTTTGGTACATACCAGAACTTGGTCCTCAGACACATTCATTCATTCATTTATTCATTCATTCACTTAATAGCTGTTTATTGAAACTTACTGATAGCTCAGTTCTTAAAGATTTCGCCTGCAATGCAGGAGATCTCAGTTCAATTCCTGGGTTGGGAAGATTCACTGAGAGGCGATAGGCTACCTACTCCAGTATTCTTGGACTTCCCTTGTGGCTCAGCTGGTAAAGAATCCGCCTGCAATGCAGGAGACCTGCGTTTGATCCCTGGGTTGGGAAGATCCCCTGGAGAAGGGAATGGCTACCCACTCCAGTATTCTGGCCTGGAGAATTCCATGGACTGTATAGTCCATAGGGTTGCAAAGAGTCGGACACGACTGAGCGACTTTCATTTTTCACTTATTGAGCTGTTAGTATAAGTCAGTCACTGTGCTAGGCACTAGGGAGAGAGATCAATAGTTTCTTTCCTCAAAATGCTCAGAGTGTACTGAGCAGACAGTTCATTTCAGTGGGATGTGATCAGGGATATGACAGGTAGAAAACTAGGGAGAGACACTCACCTGCCTTTAGAGCATTGAGGAGGGAGGTGGTACCTGGGCTGTACCTGCAGGGCCGGTAGAAACAATCCAGGTGGAGAGCAGGGGGAGGCATCCAGGCAGAGAGAGAGAGGAATGTGCAGATCACTGAGCCACAGAGGATCTGGGCTTGGGGAACTGCAGGTAGCTCATTGGGCCAGAGCGTGGTTGGGACGGTGTGAGTGGAGCAGGGAAGGATGAGAGGTGAGCCTGGAGGTAGTCTGCAGCCTGGATGTGGAAGGTCCTATAACCAGGAAACTGCTGAACTCTCTTCCCTGCTTTGTGCGTGGTGCTGTCAGAGTAGTCATGTTCATTTCTCATAAGAGCCAACTCTTCTGAAAGAATAGGAAAACGGGCTTGGGCATCAAGGCACGCTTCTACTAAGATTCCAGCTCCACCTGCGTCTGGGTGGTCACGTAACTGATTTAATTACCTTCTCCGACCTTCTCTTTCTCAGCGATAAATGAGCGTCCTCCTCTATTTATAGTATTCTGTGGGGGTGTGAGAAGGCAAAAAGAACATGTCAGTGTGTATACAGACAGACAGACCCAACATGCTTAAGTAAAAAGTGGTGCTCAAATTTATGAATGTTTGCAGGTATTATGCTGACAGTTAACTCTGGCAATTTCTGGCTTTCAATTGGTTGTTTAACTTTTTTGAATCGTGGATATTCAGTGAGTGGGTATCTGTTGATGGAGAACATTTTCATATCTGAAACAAAATGTTAGCAGTGTGACTTTTCATTGCCTTTCAACTGAACTCGGCTGTTATTTTCTTAGATGAGCTCCGTCTGGAACAGCACAATCTTTCTTTCTCCTCCGTGGAGCTCATGCCAAGGGAAAGCACTGTGCCCAGCACTGCATACGTGGCCTTAACAGAAACCGCTCCAGGGTCCCCGCAAAGCAGCTCTCTCCACGTCACATCATCTCCATCCACCACGGCTTTTGATACAGCCTTTTTTAACCAAGGAAAATGGACCCAAAGTACAGCAGATTCCAGCATCTTTGCGGCAAATTATGTGGCAGTGACGAGCAACGAGGTCCTAGATGACGATGAAATGGACAACTTCTTGCCAGAGACTTATTGGACTGCCTCGCGCGTGGTTTCGCCGGTACGATACGTCACAGTCAGCCCGCCAGAGCTGCCCAAGGAAACCTTAGACTCCGTGCTGACTCCATCGTTACCCGTCATACCTTTACAAGATGAAGAAGTGACATCAGCCTGGCTAAACACAGTGAAACAACCAACCACGTATGCTGAGCTCCCTGGTCATTTCAGTGCTTTTCGGTCAGCTTTTCCCACTTCCGAGGGCGTAATTCCAATGCCTAGTAGGAATTTGGCATTTTATCCTTCAGATGCTTGTGGGCACGTGTCAAGCAGGACTTTGCCAGAGATCATGGTTTCAGGAGCAGAGGGCTCAGGAACCCTCCTTCTTAGCTCACAGTCTTCAGAGTCCTGGCTACCAGACGATGATGTTACTCAGCAGCCATCTCCCCCATCAGGGCAGGTCTCACCGCCTCCAGGGGATGCTCTGGCCACAGATACAGACAGGTACCCTGATGTCACCGCTGATTTGGGTCAGAGCCTAGACAAAACCATCTCTCCAGGCACACGCCGTTCTGCAGCTCTGTCGCCGAAGGTCCTTGCTTTCAGCAGCAGCAGTGCGCACTGGGCTTTGTTTCCAACTCCTCTGGCATCTGGATCCTTTTCTGCTCAATCCGCCGGCGTGTCACATAACCCCTTTCTTCCTGGCGACTCCCTTGAGGCATCAGAATTGCCTGGCCACTCAGTGGTCCCAAGTGGTGCGGGTGTCCAGAGCCTGGTGTCTTTGTTCAGGCCGTACACGCGGTGTGTGTCCTGCGCTGAGGTGTCCTCCCGGCCCGTGCTGTCAACGAGCCTCACAGAGAAGGATGCTGGATCGGGGGATGGTGCTGAGACCCTGTCCCCCACCCCCTTGGGAGCCAGCAGCATCTCTCCACTGAGCAGCGTCATCACAGACTTCCCTGAATTTGAGGAAGAGTCTCAAGAGTTCAATACACTTTTCCCCTCCAGGCCAATGGTTCCCCTCTCTTCTCCATCTGGGGAAATCTCAGCCACCGGCGTCAGTGTTTCAGCCGAGGGGGAGATGAGTGGTGTTGTAATCATGCGGGTGTACCCTCCCCACGGCCGCCTCTCGGAGTCTGTGTCACCCGATGCTGCTCTGGGCTCCTCCTCTGTCGCTCAAGTGATGCCATCCAGTGTGACAGCCGTGCCGTCCTCGGTCACCCCCAGCGTCCTTCTCGACTCTTCTTTCCCCGTCACAGCAAACAGAAACACACCGTCACTTGCCATCAGTGGCCCAGGTGTTTTTCCGTCTTACAGTTCAGACCCACCGGCAGAGTCTTCGTTTTTCCCGGACCGAGAACCTATCAGTTTTTCCCAACATGAAACTGCAAGTATTTGGGGTTCTGCGTCCAGCTTTTTCTCTACTCCACCGCTGGAATACAGCAGCGGGGTCCCTCCGCCTTCAGAAGTATTTGCTTCTCCGTCTCTGAGGTCAAGGGATCTGTCTACCTTTGTTTCTCAGGCGTTTTCCAGCTTGGTTGAGACACCTGCGTTGACCAACGCGATCAATTCTCAGTCACCGCAGACCTCTGTTCCCGGCTCCACAAACCTGGAGTTTTCTCAGCCCTGGCCAAGCTCAGACTCTCTTTTAAGCACGTTCACTCTCCTCCCTGGTTACTCTGAAATGTCACGACACTCCAGCTTTCCCTCTGATTCTCTGAAGTTTTCTGAAGCGCCCACAGTGTCGCTGACAGATACTGAAGCTCATTTTACCTCAGCTTTCACTGAAACTACCTCCTCTGTTGAGTTTTCACTCATGTCCCGTGAATCCGCAGTCACCACGCTGGTGCCCTCCAGCTCCGAGCCCGTTTTGACTGCTGACTCTCACTTCATGTCACTTTGGACTGCTGTCCCTACTTCAGCTGTTTTAACTGAACCTTCTCTCTTTTCAACCCTGACACATTCTGGTGATATCAGTGCTATAAACGATCACACGTCTGTCTTAACCTCTTTCTCAGAAGTCACCCCTACCAGCACAGTGCTGGGCACCGCCGGGTACCTGCCGTCAGCATCCTCGTCCGTTCCTGACGTGACCCCCTCGCCTCTGCCTACAGAGCCTACCGGTGGTCCGCGTGGGCTGTCCTTCACCCCCGCGGATTTGCCGAGGAACACCTCCACTGAACCAAGCACATCTGATACTAGTGTTGCCCCTGAGAATTCTGGTCACACCACCCTGAACAGCAGACCCGCCAGTCAGGATCCCCACGAGGGCAGCACGGTTCTCCCCGCACTGTCCCTTCAGCCCGTGACCACCCCCACTCCCGAAGCATCAGTTCATACTCCAGCGCTGGTCACCACCAAGTCGCCATATGTGTGTGATATTACGGTTCCTGACGCCTATCTGATCACAACTGGTAAGGCTCTGCTTCAAGTCCCTTCTCTCAGTTGGGGTGATGTTCTGAAGGTGCTCATAAGAAACACGTGTATAATGTGCAGCATTGGGGCAAAGTATAAGCTCTGGACCCAGACAACTCCTCACTGCTGTACCAGCTCTCATGAGTTCTCTGGGCAGTTAGCTTCTCTAAGCCTCAGTTTCCTCAACTGTTAAACAGGGAGGATGGTGGCACTTACTTCTTTGGATTGTTATAGAGATTTCAATGCGTTAGTGCATATAAAATACTTAACCCAGTGCCTGGCCTATATAGTTAAGTGCCCACAAAATATTACAGATGAGCAGCAATGAAAACTGATTTAAATGAGCCTTAGAAGTGTTTGCTAGGATCTTTGTCTTTGGAGCTCATAACCCATTGGATGCATAGATGACACAGGTAAACACCTTCATGTTTAGTTCAAGCAGTTAGTTGTGCAAATGTGTAAGGGTCTCTACTGCAATTTCTCACTCATTTACTGTTCTCACTTTTCCTGGAAAAGAGGGGGCACTTTGTTCTTACATGAAAGTGTTAGTCACTCAGTGGTATCCGACTCTCTCTGACCCCACAGACTAGCCCGCCAGACTCCTCTGCCCGTAGAATTCTCCAGGCAAGAATGCTGGAGTGGGTAGCCATTCCCTTCTCTAGGGGATCTTCCTGAGCTGGGGATCAAATCTGGGTCTCCTGCATTGCAGGCAGATTCTTTACTATCTGCGCCACCAGGGAAGCCGAGGAGAGCAACATGGGGTGACTTAGTATCCTCTGAACTGGGTCACAGACCTTGACCTTCTCCCCAGCCTGCTGTCTGAGTTACCGGCCGGCAGGCAGCAGCTTCTCTTGCAGCTGCTCGGCCACTTTAGTTGCAGAAAACTGGAGTACCCCGGAGGTCATGTCTGAACAAGTCTGGCGACTGTGGCCTCCCATCAGACTTTCCCACTTGTTCCTCCTGAGAAGTGGCAGGTGTGCATTAAGCCAGTGTCCTGTTCATACGTACTGAAGTACAAAGTGCGGTTGATCAGCAGCCTGGTTCTGCTAGTTGGTTGGGATGGGGATGAGGGATAGAAAGGAAGAAGATGGCAGGAGAGGTGGAGCAGGCAGGGAGCCGAGTGGTCAGGGAAGGTGGAGCTGGGAGGAGGGAGGAGAATGCACTGGGTCTTTTTTCTCCACACTGAGACCAAGGGAGCCCATTCATAATGACACTAACCTGCCTTGCAGTGCTAGCCCGCAGAGCTGTGCAGGAGTACATCATCACATCCATCAAAGAGGTGCTGAGGACCCACTTCAACCGTGTGGTGGAGCTCAAGGTGGGTCCGCACGGTGTGGAAATCTGCAGGGGGAGCTTGGCTGGGTTGCACGTCACAGTGGGAGCAGGACATTTGCTTTCCTCTTTCCCCCTCCCTCCTCCTGGTGGACGCCTTCTCTGCCTTTGGATCGCCCCTCAAACATCCAGTTCTCCAAGGAAGCCTTTCTGACCCCAGACGAGGCCAGGTTTAGTTCATCAGGGGGCGTGTTGGCAGAGTGGGGACAAAGGGCTGTAAGACTTGAGTCTGGGGAGATGCCCTAAGAATCTCGCTTCCCTTGATTTACATGAAAGGGCTTGGATGAGAGTTTAGAGTGAGTGTGTATGTATGTTTCTGTGCGTCGAGTGAGATGGGTTTCTCGGTGCTTTATGCTGGATGCCTGCTAGTGCCTCCTGTCCCCTGCTGAGCTCACAAAGCCACATTCTAGCCTGGTGCCATCCTGAGCAGAGCCACGAGCCATGTGTGGCTGTTGAGCATGTGGAATGGGGCTTGTCCCGAGTGAGATGTGCTGTCAGTGCAAGATACACACCAGATTTCAAAGACTCAGTGCAAAAGGGAATGCAGAATATCTCATTAATCATATTTTTGCATTGCCTGCAGTTGAGATGACATATCATATATGGTTTAAGTAAAATGCTTTAAAAATTAATTTCACCTGTTTATATTTTTTTAATGTGGCTACCAGAAATTTAAAAATTACATATGTGGCTCACGTACTTCTTGTGAATAGCTCTGCTTCATAGAGTAAGTGCTCCTTTTTATGTGGGTTAAATACAATAAAATACCTTGAATTTTTCTTAATTCCTTCTTTGGTTCCTATTATTAACTATTCTTCTTTTTCACAGTCCTTGCCCTTGTAATTTTGTGCTTTTGTTGAGAAAGTTGGCAGATATGTGAGAGGAATAACTAAAATAAAATTTTAATTATCTCTGAAGCCATACCCCTTCATTTAAAATTATTTTTTTAACTTTATTATTTTTCTACTCAATACAACTTCCTTTAGTTTGAATTATGTTACCCTTAAATTTTCTATTTAATGTCTTTTGTCTTTGTAGGTTTATGAACTATTTGCTGACTTCACTTTTCTGGTAACATCTGGTCCCTTCGTTTACACGGCAATATCCGTCATCAATGTACTTATAAATAGTAAACTTGTACGAGACCAAACTCCTTTAATCTTGGCTGTGAAACCCTCCTTCCTTGTGCCAGAGTCCAGGTTCCAAGTTCAAACAGGTAAGAAGACTTAAGTATAGTTTTTCTGATTTGTAAATAGAGTTTCATTTTATTTTTATGTTTTAAAATACTTTGGGGAGGATTGTGTCAAAATATGTTATTCAAAATTTCAAAAAACTTTATAATGATGGAGAATTTCCAGCTTATATGAAAGTGCACAGAATAATATAATGAACCCCTAGGTGCTCATTGCATGGCTTCAACAATTGGTGGCTCAGATGGTAAAGAATCTGCCTGCAATGCAGGAGACCTGGGTTCAGTCCCTGGGTTGGGACGATCCCTGGGTTGTGAAGATCCCCTGGAGGAGGGCATGACAACGCACTCTAGTATTCTTGCCTGGAGAATCCCCAGGGACAAAGGAACCCGCAGGGCTACAGTCCATGGGGTTGCAAAGCGTCGGACACAACTGAGTGACTAACACACAACAATTTTCAACTCCTAACCAGTTTTGTTACATCTTTGTCCCCATATAAACCCCCTCCTCTCATGTTATTTTGATATGGCCTCGTGTCATCTCATTCATAAATATTTCAGCCTGTGGCTCTAAAAGATAAGACTATTAAACATATATACACACACATAAAACATACACATGCATACTTACACACATCTATTCACAATATCATTGTTATACCCCCTGAGATTAGCTGTAATTCCTTAATGTCATTTAACTTTTTATTATGGACTTCTAAAAACATACAGAAGTAGAAAGAATACTGCAGTTAGCCCACATATGTGTATACAAACTTAAAAAATTATCAGCATTTTCCCAATTTTGTTTCTTTTATCTCACACAGATTTTTTTGAGGGAAGCTAGAGTGTTTTAAAACAATATCAGATAACATGTCATTTCACCCATACATACTTAAGAATTCATCACTAGTGAATTTATTTATATTTCAAATGTTTCAGTGTTATATGTTTTGATGCCCCAGTTATTATCTTAGATATTTTTCCATTTTAAAATGGTATGAATCACTTTGCATTGCATGTAGTCCTTTGGTACAGTTGGCTTTCCACATTTCCGTGATATGATACATGTAAATAATATATCATGGACCCTTGTACACTGTTGGTGGGAATGTAAATTGGTGCAGCCACTATGGAAGACAGTATGGAGGTTTCTCAAAAACCTGAAAATAGAACTACCATATGACCCAGTAGTTCCACTCTTGGATGTGTATCCAAAAAAATGAAAACACTAATTTAAAAAGATACATGCACCTCAGTGTTCATAGCAGCATTATTTTCAATAACCCAAGACATGGAAGTACCCAAGTGCCTATCAACAGATGAATGGATGAAGATGTGATGTGTGTGTGTGTGATGTGATGCTCAGTCATGTTAGACTCTTGGCGACCCTGTGGACTGTAACCTGCCAGGCTCCTCTGTCCATGTTAATTTCCCAGCAAGAATATTGGAGTGGGTTGCCATTTATTCCTCCAGGGGGTCTTCCTGCCACAGGGATTGAACCTGCATCTCCTGTGTCTCCTGCATTGGCAGGCAGATTCTTTACTGCTGAGCCACCTGGGAATCCCTATATATATATACTATTCATCCATAAAAAGGAATGAAAATTTTGCCATTTGCAAGAACATGGATGGACTTAGAGGGTATTATGCTAAGTGAAATTAAGTCAGACAGAGAAAGACAAATACTATGAGATATCACTTATGCAGAATCTAAAAAATAAATCAGGCTAGTGAATATAACAGAAAAGAAATAGACTCATTGACAACAAACTAGTGTTTACAAGTGGAGAGAACCAAGGGTGGGGACAATATAGATGTAAGAGATTAAGGGGTTGCAAACTACTATGTATAAAATAAATAAGCTACAAGGATATATTGTATAGCACGGGGAACATTGCTAGTATTTTATAACTATAAATGAAATACAGCCTCTAAAAATTGTGAATCAGTGCGTTGTACACCTGAAACTTACATAATCATGTACACCCACTATCCCTCAGTAAAATAATAATTTTATAGAACTTAACCATGTACTGTGGGTCAGAGTTCATTGATTTAGACACTGTTTTGTCCTTCTCCTCATTTTAAATACTCAAGAAACGCCTGGTTCAGGGGACTGTGTTGCTGTCCTTCTTTTCAGTGCTCCAGTTTGTGCCTCAGAGTGTGGACACCGGCTTCTGCAACTTCACCCAGCGCATCGAGAAAGGCCTGATGACAGCTCTCTCAGAAGTGAGGAAACACCGGCAGGGGGGGTACAACCTCACAGTGCAGGTGAGCACAGCCTTGAGTGCAGAGCAAGATGCTCTATCTTTTAAAGAGGAACCCGTTTCGTAATGGTTTGTTTCAGACACACTTAACTCTTACCAATTCCCTACGGCAGAGGAGATTCGGTTCTCATGGATTAGAGAGCATCTCTTTCCATGGCGTTGAGCCCACAGAGCATGAATAGACTAAAGTATATTTGAAAGTTTACGGAGTGGCCCAATAACCAGGGAGCTCAGATATGGTGAGCTGAAGAGAGATGGGCCTATGTGGGAAATGTAAGAATGTTCTAGAAAAGAACAGTATCAACTTAAATATCCAATGAGGGGAATGCCTGAATACACCGGAGTTTCATATTATGAATTTCATTTTATTTCATTTTATGGAATTTCATTTTATGGAATACCATGAAATGCAGTGCTTCACTGTATGAACAGAATATGGTCCTAATCAAAGAACAGGCTTTGTACCACATGGAAACTGATGTTTTTACATTTCTTTGATATTTATTCCTCCATATTCTTTGTTTTCTCTTTTTTGAATTCATGTTAAAAAGATTTTGGTGATCCTGGATTCGCCATGCATATTTGTTACTTTTTCCATCTCTCTCTCTCTTTAATATTTATTTATGTATTTTTGGCTGGGTCAGGTCTTAGTTGCAGCATGTGGGATCTTTCGTTGCGGTGTGCAGGCTCTTCATTGCGGCGTTAGGGCTTCTCTCTAGTAGTGGCACAGGCAGGCTCAGTAGTTGAGGCACATGGGCTTCATTGTCCTTCGACATGTGGGATCTTAGTTTCTGACCAGGAATCAAAACCAAGTCCCCTGCATTGGAAGGTGGATTCTTAACCACTGGACCACCAGGGAAGTCCTTCTACCTCTTTTTGAAGTTCCCTGCTTTTACAGATTTCTAAATCTTGTCCTCCAAGTTGTTGATGTAGTCTTCAGCTGTGTTCATTATGTTGTTCATTTCCTCTATTGAATTTTCTTTTAGATATCATTTCATTGTTATTTGTTCTTTGTTTCTTTGCAGGCTCCCTGTAATAATGCAGGCTTGTCTTGAATGATGTTACAATATTCCCTTGAAAGTTTCTGAGGATGTTAATTAGAATTTTTAATTTTTAATAAGTTGTCTTCCATGTCCTAAGTTTTCTCTGCATTCTTTGCCATTGTTCTGTGTTTATCTTGGGTCTTCACTTTCATGCTAATAGTTTTCTGTAAGCATCTGCTGACTGTTAGTGGTTGTCTTTAGGAATGAGGAAGAAGGTGGTTTTAGCACCTCGTTCATCTTTCCCCTTCAGCTGTAGAGTCTGTGTCTACATCATCCCTCTCTCCTGATAGGAGAGTTCACTGGAGCCTTGGGTACCAGGCAGTATTTGGTCAGGGGCAGGCAACCATCGTATGAGATGAGGAGGTTGTATCCTGGGGATGGGGAGTGTTGATGTATTTTTCATGGTAGAACAGCTCCTCCTTTTCCCTCCTTTTCCTTCTTTGTCTCTTGTGTGCACTGTGGTTATTTTCACCCATCTTCCTGCTTAGAGGCTGCCCCACAGCAGGTCTTGGGCCCTCTCAGACCAGGAACTCATCTTCCTCAGGGAGCAGTTCTTCAGCTTCCTGGGGTGAAGCTGGGGCTGCTAGCCCTTCTGAGTTGGCCTGGGTGTGACGTGGGAAGGGAGAGGGGTGGGAGATACCCGAATCAGTTGTTGGCACCCAGTCTTTACCTAGTGACTCCAGCGGCTGTCCTGCAGCCCACTCTGGTCTCAGTTCCTGCAGATCTCTGGGAGGAGGCCTCCTGGGGCCCCTGGAGGAGACCTGTCTCAGTCCACTATGGTCTGTGCATGTGTGTGTTTTGGTGTCTTGGTTCCCTCTGTTTTGGTTTGTTATCAACATGATTCCCACCCTGTCTCCAGCTTCCAGTAATTTGACAGAATCTCTGGTTTTCTTCTTTTCTCGGTGTCTTTGTAGATTTATTCCCCTTTGTTCATCTTATTGTTATATCAGTGGGATTTGGGATGGGAACGAAAAGGGGAGGAACTATAAATACATGTGCTCAGTTCTCTACTTAATGTAAAAAAACGTTTTCAATAAACTGAGGGTTTAAAATTATTACAAGAAGGAACCTGGCTGTGAAGCCAATTACTCTTCCTTTAAAAATATTCTTTTTTAAAAAAAAATTTGGTGAGGGAAATTGTGAGAGAGAAATCATAGTCAAGCTTTTACCTGGACGTTTTAATTTATCTTAGAAACTTATTCTGATTTCTTTCTTTCAGATCTTGAATATCACTGTGGGATCTTCGAGGCTGGCTCCTCGCCGGGGCCCTGTGAACATCGTCTTTGCTGTCAGAGGCTCGCAGGGGTTTCTGAACGGATCTGAAGTGAGCGAGCTGCTCAGAAACCTGAGCGTGGTGGAGTTCAGTTTCTACCTGGGATACCCCGTGCTGCAGATCGCCGAACGTGAGTGGTGCTCTCCTGGGGAATGTGGCTGGGAGCGCTTGCATGGGTGGACCTCTTCAAACAGAATAGCTAGCAGATAGGCAGAATATAAATCAGATAAAACTGGAGCTCCTCAGATCACGTGGAGGTGGGCCTCCAGAGCCCTCCTCTCCCACTATGCTTGCGTTGTTATTCCCTTTAGAGAGCCAAGGGTGCCATCCAAGATTATACCAGTCCTGGAAAAGGTGAAACCAGAGGGACTGAGTAACAGATCTGTGGTTACCAGGGGTGAAGGGTGTGAGGAAAGCAGCTTGGAGTAGGGGGAGGGGGTAGTGATGAGAGTGTCTTGTATATTATGGTGGTGGTTACACACCTCTATGCACTTGTCAAAACCCATGAAACAGTTAGGTTGGTGTAAAAATAATTGCGGTTTTGCATTGTTGAACTTCGCCATTTGATTTTGGAATACCTTCTTAAATAAACTTGGTTATGTTATACATCATTTTAATGCCCATTTCTTGCTTTATGTTTTTTTTTTGCTAGTGACTTGTTACTGGCTGTGTATTTTATATTTATTTTAGACTATGGAAATGATGTTAAACAAAAAGGAAATTTGAGTGATTTCCTTATTTGAGTTCAAAATGGGTCGTAAAGCAGCAGAGACAACTTACAACATCAACAAAGCATTTGGCCAAAGAACTACTAATGAATGTGCAGTGCAGTGGTGGTTCAAGAAGTTTTGCAAAGAAGAGGAAAGCCTTGAAGATGAGGAATGTAGTTTGGAAGTTGACAATGGCGTTGAGAGCCATCAACAAATCTGATCCTTTTCCAACTACACAAGAAGTTGCTGAAGAACTCAATATTGACAATTTTACAGTCATTTGGTATTTGAGGCAAATTGGAAAGGTGGAAAAGCTTGATAAGTGGGTGCCTTGTGAGCTGACTGAAAATACAAAAAAAATGGTCATTTTGAAGTGTCCTCTTATTCTAGACAACAAGAGTGAACCATTTCTCAATCAGATTGTGTTGTGGGATGAAAAGTGGATTTTATATGACAACTCGCAATGACTAGCTCAGTGGTTGGACCAAGAAGAAGCTCCAAAGTACTTCCCAAAGCCAGACTTGCACCAAAAAAAGGTCACTGTCACTGTTTGGTGGTCTGCTGCTGGTCTGATCCACTACAGCTTTCTGAATCCTGGCGAAACCATTCCATCTGAGAAGTATGCTCAGCAATTTGATGAGATACTCTGAAAACTGCAACACCTGCAGCCAGCATTGGGCAACAGAAAGGGCCCAGTTCTTTTCCACAATAACACCTGACCACATGTCACACAACCAATGCTTCAAAAGTTGAATGCATTGGGCTATGAAGTTCTGCCTCATCTGCCATATTCACCTGACCTCTCTCCAACTGACTACCACTTCTTCAAGCTTCGTGACAACTTTATGCAGAGAAAATGCTTCCACAACTAGCAAGATGCAGAAAATGCTTTCCAAGAGTTCATCAGATCCTGAAGCATGGATTTTCACACTACAGGAATAAACAAACTTATTTCTCATTGGCAAATTGTTTCGATTCCTATTTTGATTAATAAAGATGTGTTGAGCCTAGTTATAATGAATTAGAAATCATGGTCCAAAACCGCACTTATGCTTGTACCAACCTAAATATACAGCAAAAAGACCAAGATTTACTGTGTGTACATTTAAGAAGAAAAACAAAGCAGAAATGAAAACCAACAAAACCTTCCTTCCTGGTGGAAACAGTTCAGTTCACAGTACAAAGGGAGTGGAGTCGGGATAGGGGAAATATTTACTTCAAAAAAACAGTAGATTCCAGAGTTGAAGTCAAGGGAAAAAAAGGATATCAAATTCTTTTTTCGGAATGGAACAGCCAAATGGCTTAATGATTATTACCGTGTTTTGTGTGTTAGTCGCTCAGTCGTGTCTGACTCTTTGCAACTCCATGGACTGTAGCCTACAAGGCTTCTCTGCCCATGGGATTCTCCAGGCAAGAGTACTGGAGTGGGACTTCCCTGGTAGCACAGTGGAAAAGAACCTGCCTGTCAATGCAGGGGACACAGGTTCGATTCCTGGTCCGGGAAGATTCCACATGCCTCGGAGCAACTAAGACTGGGTGCCACAACTATTGATCCTGCACTTCAGAGCCTGAGCTCTGCAACAAGAGAAGCCACAATAGTGAGAAGCCTGAGCACCACAACTGGAGAAAGCCCTTGCACAGCAACGAAGATCCAGTGCAACCAGAAATAAATAAAATTATTTAAAAAAAAAAAAAGTACTGGAGTGGGTAGCCACGCCCTCTTTCAGGAGATTTCCCGACCCAGGGACCGAACCCAGGTCTCCCGCATTGCAGGCATATTCCTTACCATTTGAGCTACCTGGGAATCACCTGGGAAGCCCTTATTGTTATTTTAGTGTAGTGTTAGTTAAATGAATTTTCCAGTGTTCATGTATGGATGTGAGAGTTGGACTGTGAAGAAAGCTGAGTGCTGAAGAATTGATGCTTTTGAACTGTGGTGTTGGAGAAGACTCTTGAGAGTCCCTTGGACTGCAAGGAGATCCAACCAGTCCATCCAAAAGGAGATCAGTCCTGAATATTCATTGGAAGATGCTGAAGCTGAAACTCCAATACTTTGGCCACCTTATGCAAAGAGTTGACTCATTGGAAAAGACCCTGATGCTGGGAGGGATTGGGGGCCGGAGGAGAAGGGGACGACAGAGGATGAGTTGGCAGGATGTCATCACTGACTCGATGGACATGAGTTTGAGTAAACTCTGGGGGTTGGTGATGGACAGGGAGGCCTGGTGTGCTGTGATTCATGGGGTTGCAAAGAGTCAGACACGACTGAGCGACTGAACTGAACTGAGGTGAATTAAATGAAAAAGGATAACTTGTAAAATGCAGAAGTAGACAGGGATGAAATTGTTATTTACGAGTAGCAACTTTCAGTGATACATTGTGCAGGTATGGATGAAATAATAAGTATGCCAGACATTGGGTCACTTTAGCCTGTCTGAGTCATTGCTGGGAATTTCCAGGGCTCTGAGGAGCACGGAGTGAAAACTGGTTGCTCTGGAATTGTGACATTTCAAGGGGAACTTACAGGTGAGCTCTGTGAAACAGGTCCCATAATGTCGCACTTTCTTTCCTTTTCTCCCTCTTTCTCCTGGAGGCTGATGTGCTCAGGACCCTGTCACTGTCTCTGCCTTCACCCCAGCCTGGCACCCTAGCCTTGAGCCCATAGGCAGAGCTGATTAGTGAAGGAGAGGTGGCATATTGTGATTTTATCCCTCACTCCCTAGAACACTCACCTTTCTGACTGTTGCAAACATTTTTTTTTAATGGATCTTTCTCCTTTTCTAACTCTTTCCTTCTTATAGCCTTCCAGTACCCACAGCTCAACTTATCTCAGCTGTTGAAGTCCTCCTGGGTAAGAACAGGTATGTTTAACTTACATAATGTTTTGAGAAACTGTAATAGGAAGAAGCCTGTGCTGGGGTATTGAGAGGGACACCGCCTTTTCTGTTTCTGAGCCCTAAATTCAGGGCAGCATGTACCTTAGATTCCTGGCAAAGAATGAATGAGAAAAGGGATTCAGATTGGACCGCGAGAATATGTCCCACTGAGTTATGGCACAGAAAGGATTGGCTTTCTTTAAAATTCATACATCAAGTCCAGGACAAAGTCTAACAGGAATTGACAATCTTCTGACCAGAACAGGACAAGGTTCCAAAGCAAGGATCTCTTCTTTTCCCCTAAAAGCCTCATATATCTGGTTTGATAAGGACAAATAAGGTAACTTGGTGAGCAGTTAAGAAGCATGTTTTAAAGTCTTGTGGGCCTGGGTCAGATATTCATAGCCATGGAATTGCAGATAAAGGCTTTTTAACTTGGGACACAAAAGAGTAAAAGATGCCCAGCCTACGACAGTGTGGAAGCAGCCTGGTACCTCACCGGTTGTGGGAGGAAGCTTGCAAAGTGGGGATCATCATTATGGACAGGTTCCTGGGCCCTGCAAGTTCTCATTGCTCATGTACAACATGATGCCTGATAAAGGCCCCACGTCTTTGCATGGTATAGTGGCCTTATTTTCAAAATAATTTTCCTAGTGGTTAAGTGACTTGCACGTGGTCCTATCTTAAAGGGGATTTGAGCCAGTTTTGGCTGAAAAACTCAGACTTTTTCCTTCTATACCATGCTAAGATGCCGTTCTCTGTTTAGATAATCCAGATGTCTGAAGACAGGCCTCCTTGTCTCAAGTCAGTTAATGAGTCTGAATCTTGAGTCAAGATAGAATATGAGCTCAGACCATTTATAGAAATTTTGAAATCGGTGCAGACAAAACATTTGATCTTGTGTAGGAGCTCTTAGTGGAAAAGGAAATGGCAGCCCACTCCAGTGTTCTTGCCTGAAGAATCCCAGGGACGGCGGAGCCTGGTGGGCTGCCGTCTATGGGGTCTCACAGAGTCGGACACGACTGAAGTGATTTAGCATCAGCAGCAGCAGGAGCTCTTAGCCCCAAAGCTCCTGCATTGCTGAACTCCTGGGACTTCTGGCCACCAGTCTTTGTGAACTTTAGAGATAAGACCCGTGACCTATCCTCCCTGGGGCTCTCCCGCACCCCATTCATCTTCCCTCTTTCCCCTTTTAATGTCTCCTTCCTAGGGATTGGCATTTTATAGTAAGCCTGTGTTAATTTCCTTTGCACACACTCTTTCCTCTCCACTGTTAACTTGTTTGGGGGCCTGTGTGTGTTTCACCTTGAATGTAGTCCTCCTGGGTGTTGTTGAGAAGCAGCTCCAGAATGAAGTGTTTCAAGCTGAGATGGAGCGCAAGCTGGCCCAGCTGCTCAGCGAGGTCTCCGCCAGAAGACGGATGTGGAGAAGGGCCACCGTCGCGGCTGGGAACAGCATGGTGCAGGTAAGGAGGAGGCCGGAGGAGGGAGGGGAAGGGAAGAGGAGCCGTCTAAGAATGCGTCGTGTTCTTACACAAATGGAAAATGCCAGGAGAATCTTGATAAATACACTGATTGCTCTCTTAAGTGGCAATGAATGCGTCAGCATTTCAGTTCCACTAGAGTCTGGACAGATACTTCCCGAGTCCTTAATAACTGGTCAGTGCAGCAAATGGCCTTGTGGGGACCACAGCAGAAGAATGTATAAGTGGATTGCCACTGGATGATCTGATTTTTCAAAGAGTAATTTTTTAGTTACCAAAAAAAAAGTTTTATGGAATGGTAAGCATTATTGATAGCATCGTAGAGGTAAATCATTCAGCTATGAGAAACCTTGAGAGATGGGAAAGAGGAAGATGTTGTCCTTTATTCCAGCACTCTGTCTTCCCCGCCTCCCGCCAGCCCTGGTTGTCCCTTGTTACCCAAATTGTCTTCACTACATAAACTGGCAGAAAGGTTGCAATGACAGATCCATTTGAATAGAAAAGTGACCCATTTAAAAATGCATGTACTCAAGAGTTGAGGGTTGGGGCTGTAATTAATTCCCATCTCGATATGAATTACATTGTTTTGGGTTTTTGTCTTTACCAATGCTGACTTGTAAAGCTAGGGAAATGGGATATTTGGAGCTATGCCATTTCAGAGACGAGAAGCCAGGGTGAAACCCCAGCGTGCAGAGATGTGGAGGCTGGTGGTTTAGAGGCTTTAGAGAGAGTGATATGAAGCTGACACTTGGGTGGGGAGCTGGGCAGTTTGCCGAGAACTGGCATCACCATTATCCCTCAGCTCTTTTACCGAGTTTTTCCCTGTAAATGTTGCTCTTTATTTTCCCTCCCAGAAAGGTGGTTATTAGGTTTCTAAACTAGTTACTTTGCCAGATGCTATAGAATATACAGAAATTGAAAAACTAAAAAAAAAAAAGAACAACATTAAGCAAATAACTATAATACTAAGAATAAAAATGAACATTAAAAGCCTTGCCTTATTTAGCAGCCTTGGCTTCATAGAGCTCAAGGTCTGGGTGGAGGTTAATTTATGCACATAAAATAGCAGTAGAGGACCATAAAATTCCATAATGATATGTTTAATTAGTGTGCAAGTTCCCTAAGATAGAAATGTGGAATCTCTGAAAGTTAACCAAGTCATCCTAGGCTCATGGTGCCATCTGATGAACTGCTTAGAAAACATGCCCTCTGTGTCTTCCTCTTTAGAGTGACCAAACATGGAGATGTAGGCAAGGATTTATGTACAACCAGGACTCTTCATCAAAACATAATGCTATGGCTGATTCATGTTGATGTTTGGTAGAAACCAACACAATATTATAAAGCAAATAAATTAATTAAAAAAACCATAATGTGTAGAGACCCTATTGTATAGCACATGGAACTCTGCTCAATGTTATGTGCTAGCCTGGATGGGAGGGGAGTTTGGGAGATAATGGATTCATGTTTTATATGTATGGTTTAGTGCCTTTGCTGTTCGCCTGAAACTGCCACAACGTTGTTAATCTGCTAAACCTCAACACAAAGTATTTTTGGTGTTAAAAAAAAAACACAAACCCATAATGTGTAAAAGTGAAAGTATTAAAACAAGCTCAATGTCCAGCAATTAGAGAATGGGCAAATAAACTAGTGAAATCTTTATGTTAGAATGTCCCATTATCATGTTTTTTAAATTAGTGAGGAAATATAGAAAAAAGCTCAAGTAAAAAGAGTCTATAAATGAATATATGCAATATAATCCAAATATTAATGTACATATGAAAAAATGACAGGAGAGAATATGCCAAAATATTTGCAATGATTTTCTTTGGTTGACTTGAGTTTCAGGTGATTTTTGTTTTATTCTTTATCCTTATTTTTCTTGTTCTTCAAAATTTCTCCAATGAGTGTATAATTTGTATAGTTGAATATGTGATTTTAATCAGAAATTTTTTTTTTAATAAAATAGAAAATGTTGCCCCAAATGATGACTGTCACAGCCTGGTTTTATGGATTTCATATAGAATCTGATAAGAAGTCATCTAGAAAGGATGTTGGGATTAGATTTTACAGACTGTTACTTTCAGATTGGAGAAGCATGTAGGATTTTTAATCAAGGTAGATGTCACTGGATATTTGGGTGTATGGTTTCTGCAAGAAGAAGCATTTCTAAAACTTATCAGAACTTTAAAGTGGAATAAATAGGCACATAGGTAGACAGGCAGGTGGATATAATCTATTGCATTTCAGTAGCCCTTTATAGTGTTCCATTCTAAAGGCTAATGAAAATCAACTATTATAGCACAGTTCTGGGGGAGGAAGTAGGTGGTTAGGGAGCAGAAGTGGTCAAGGAACTAACTTAGAAACAGCAAATGAAGGCCTAGAAACAACAAATGAAGGCCTGGACAGGTGAGCCGTTCTTAAGGTGCAGAGGTATAAAGAACAGATTCTCCAAGGATGAGAGTTTGGACCTATGTTAAGGATCTTTATATATGATCTGGAAATAGGCGTTCACAATGAAATCATGGAATAGTGGCCAAAAGTTTGCCAGAAGTTTCCAGTGGTGAAGAAAGAGGCCAACAGCCATGTCCAGAGCACAGGGCACTGTTACAGTTCTGTACTGTGGCTAGCAAAGTAGCAGCTACATTTTGCCAATGGCAAATGTAGAGCCCAAACATTCAAATTATGTGTCTGAAATAGAGGGCTTGGGATTACCATTGATCATTCTCGCAGAATGTCAGTCCACTATTTTGCTGGAGTCTAAAGGGGCCATAAAGTTGTATATTACTAAGAGAAATAGCAACAAAATAGAAAGCTATATTTATGCAAAATTGTGATATATCAAGTGTCCTCGATTCTGAAGTACTAATGTAACAGGACTTCCCTGTTAACACCAGAGAGATACAAATTTTGGGACAAGTCAAAGTATTGTTTGACCCAGCAGATAATGAGTTTATGATATTTTTTCAACTTGATTGTGAAGTAATTGACATATAACATTGCGTAAATTTAAAGTGTACAGTGTGATGATATGATTTATGTGTGTTGTTTAGTTGCTAAGTCATGTCCAACTCTTTTGTGACCCCATGGACTGTAGGGGGCTCCTTTATCCATGGGATTTCTCAGGCAAGAATACTGGAGTGAGTTGCCATCTCCTTCTCTGTTGATTTATATATACATTGTGAAACAATTACTAGTATAAGATTAGTTAGCACATCCATCACTCACATACTTACTTTTTTTGTGTGTGTCTGGTGAGAGCTTTTAAGGTCTATTCTCATAGCAGCAAGTATGCAGTACAATATTATTAACTGTAGTCACCATGCTGTACATTAGATCCCTAGAACCTGATGACTGGAAGTGACCCCCTTTGACCACCATCACCCCATTTCTCTTCCCCTCCACCCTTGCAACTGCCAATCTACTCTTTCCATGAGTTTGACTTTTTTAGATTCCACACATGCGTGAAATCAGACAGTATTTGTCTTTGTTGGACTTACTTCACTTAGTGGAATACATTCAAGGTTCATCCCAGATAGTTGCAAATGATGGGATTTTCTTCTTTTTTGGATGAATACTATTCCATTGTGTGTGTACACACATGTGTATGTATCGTGTCACATTTTCTTTATCCATTTATCCATAGATGGACACTTTAGGTTACTTCCATGTCCTGCCTGTTGAATCTAGTGAACTTGGGGTGCAGATACCTTGTCAAAGACAGTGATTTCATTTACTTTGGATATGTACCCCAAAGTGGAGCTCCTGGACCACATACTAGTTCTAGTTTTAAATTTTTGAGGAACCTCCACACTGTCTTCCATGGTGGCTGTACCAACTTGCATTCCCACTAGTAGTGCACAAAGGTTCCCTTTTCTCTACATCCTCACTAGCATTTATCTCCTATGCTTTTGATAATAGTCATTCTAATAGATATGAGGTGATATCTCACTGTGGTTTTGATTTGCATTTCCATGATAATTAGTGATATTGAGTTCTTTTTCATGTACCCATTGGCCATTTGTGTATCTTTGGAAAAATGTCTATTCAGATCCTATACCCATTTGTTTCCAAGGGAGATACCAAGGGAACATTTCATTCAATGATGGGCACAATAAAGGACAGAAATGATATAGACCAACAGAAGAAGAAGATATTAAGAAGAGGTGGCAAGAATACACAGAACTGTACAGAAAAGATCTTAATACCCAGATAACCATGATGGTGTGATCACTCACCTAGAGCTAGACATTCTGGAGTGTGAAATCAAATGGGCCTTAGGAAGCATCACTACGAATAAAACTAGTGGACGTGGTGGAATTCCAGTGGAGCTATTTCAAATCCTAAAAGATGATGCTATGAAAGTGCTGCATTCAATACGCCAGCAAATTTGGAAGATTCAACAGTGGCCACAGGACTGGAAAAGATCAGTTTTCATTCCAATCCCAAAGAAAGGAAATGCCAAAGAATGCTCAAACTACCGCACAGTTAGACTCATCTCACACACTAGCCAAGTAATGCTCGAAATTCTCCAAGCCAGGCTTCAGCAGTATGTGAACCGTGGACTTCCAGATGTTCAAGCTGGATTTAGAAAAGGCAGAAGAACCAGAGATCCAATTGCCAACATCTGTTGGATCATTGCAAAAGCAAGAGAATTCCAGAAACGTATCTACTTCTGCTTCATTGACTTTGCTAAACCCTTTGTGTGGATCACGGCAAATTGTAGAAAATTCTTTTAAGAGATGGGAATACCAGACCACCTTATCTGCTTCCTGAGAAATCTGTATGCAGGTCAAGAAGCAACAGTTAGAACCGGACATAGAACAACAGACTGGTTCCAAATTGGGAAAGGAATATGTCAAGGCTGTATATTGTCACCTTGCTTATTTAACTTATATGCGAAGTACCTCATGCAAAATGCCATACTGGATGAAGCACAAGCTGGAGTCAAGATTGCTGGGAGAAATATCAGTAACCTCAGATATGCAAATGACATCATCCTGATGGCAGAATGTGAAGAGAAACTAAAGAGCCTCATGATAAAAGAGGAGAGTCAAAAAGCTGGCATAAAACTCAGCACTCAAAAAATTAAGATCATGGCATCCAGTCCTATCACTTCATGGAAAATAGATGGGGAAACAATGGAAACAGAGACAGACTTTATTTTCTTGAGCTCCAAAATCACTGCAGATGGTGACTGCAGCCATGAAATTAAAAGACGCTTGCTCCTTGGAAGAAAAGGTATGACCAACCTAGACAGCTTATTAAAAAGCAGAGACATTACTTTGCCAACAAAGGTCCATCTAGTCAAAGCTATGGTTTTTCCAGTGGTCATGTATGGATGTGAGAATTGGACCATAAAGAAAGCTGAGCACCAAAGAATTGATGCTTTAGAACTGTGGTGTTGGAGAAGTTGGAGTCCCTTGGACTGCAAGATCAAGCCAGTCAATCCTAGATGAAATCAACCCTGAATCTTCAGTGGAAAAACTGATGCTGAAGCTGAAGCTCTAATACTTTGGCCACCTGATGTGAAGAACTGACTCACTGGAAAAGACCCTGATGCTAGACAGTGTGTGAAAAAGCAGAAGCATCACTTTGCTGACAAAGGTCTGTGTAGTCAAAGCTATTTTTTTTTTTAAAGAAAGCTGAGTGCCGAAGAATTGATGCTTTTGAACTGTGGTGTTGGAGAAGACTCTTGAGTCCCTTGTACTGCAAGGAGATCAAACCATTCAATCCTAAAGGAAATCAGTCCTGAATATTCATTGGAAGGACTGATGCTGAAGCTGAAGCTCTAGTACTTTGGCCACCTAATATGAAGAACTGACTCTTTGGAAAAGACCCTGATGCTAGGAAAGATTGAAGGCAGGAGGAGAAGGAAACGACAGAGGATGAGATAGTTGGATGGCATCTCTGACTCAATGGACATAAGTTTGAATGAGCTCCAGGAGTTGGTGATGGACAGGGAAGCCTGGTGTGCTGCAGTCCATGGGGTCGCAAAGAGTCGGACATGACTGAGTGAACTAAACTGAACTGAACTGATGCTTGTTTGTTAATCAGATTTTTTTTTTTTTTTGCTATTGAGTTTTATGAGTTCCTTAATATATTTTGAATATTAATCCCTTATCGAATACATGATTTGCAAATATTTTATCCTCTTTCATAGATTTCCTCTTCATTTTGTTGATTGTTTCTTTTGCTGTATAGAGGCCTTTTTGTTAACATGCAGTCCCATTTGTTTATTTTTGCTTTGTTGCTTGTGCTTTGAATGTCTTATCTAAAAACCATTGCCAAGACCAATGACAGAGCTTTTGTCATATGTTTTCATGTAGGAGTTTTGTGGTTTCAGGTGTTTCCATTTACAGTTAATTTTTATGTGTAAGATGGTGTCCAGTTTCATTTTTTTGGATGTGAATATCCAGTTTTCCCAGCTCCATTTATAAAAGACTTTCTTTCCCCCATTGAGTATTCTTGGCTTTTTTGTCACCAGGGTCTTTTGTGGTTTCGTATGAATTTTAGGATTGTTGTTTTATTTCTGTAAAAATGCCATTGGAATTTTGGTAGGGACTGCGTTGAATCTGTAGATAGCTTTGGATAGTATGGACATTTTAACAGTATTCTTTTGATCCATGAATATGGGACATATTTCCATTTATTTGTGTAATCTTCGGTTTCTTTCATCAGTGTCTTATAGATTTCAGTATACAGATCTTTACCTCCTTGGTTAAATTTATTACTAAATAGTTGATTATTTTTGATGCTATTTTGAATGGGACTGTTTGTTTCTTTTTCAGATACTTTGTTATTAGTATATAGAAATACAAGTGATTTCTGTATGTTCATTTTATATCTTGCAGCTTTACTGAATTTACTTATTCATTCCACTAGTTTTTTGGGTGTTTTTTTGGAGGGTCTTTAGGGTTTTCTGTATATAATTTCATGTCATCTACAAACAAAGACAGTTTTACTTCTTCCTTTTCAATTTGAATGCCTTTTATTTATTTTTCTTGCCTGATTGTTCCACTTAGGATTTCTAGGATTGTGTTGAATAGGGGTAGTGAGAGTGGAGAATCTCATCTTATTCCTGATCATAAAGGAAAAGCTTTCAACCTTTCATCATTGAGTACAGTGTTAACTGTGTATTTGTCATATATAATTTTTTCTATATAGAGATATGTTTCTTCTGGACTCAATTTGTTGAGAGTTTTTATCATAAATGAGTTTTGAGTTTTGTCAAATGCTTTTTTTTGCATCTGTTGATATGCTTGGATGATTTATTGTTGAATTTGGTTTGCTAAGATTGTTGAAAATTTTTGTATTTGTGTTTCTTAGAGATATTGGTCTGGTCTGTAGTTTTCTTTTCTTGTAGTGTCTATACCTGGATTTGGTATTAAGATAATGTTAGTCTTATACAATCAATTTGAGAGTGCTTCCTCCTCTTAAATTTTTTGGAAAATTTTGAGGTTTAAAATTTTTCTTTAAATATTTGATAGAATTCATCAGTGAAACTATCTGGTTCTGAGCTTTTTTTTTTTTTTAGGATGGGAAGTATGTGATTACTGATTTAATTTCCTTACTCATTATTGGTCTGAATAGATTTCCTATTTCATCATGATCCTGTCTTGGTAGGTTGTATGTTTCTAGGAATTTATCTATTTCTTCTTGGTTGTCAAATCTGTAGGCATATAATTGTTCACAGTAGTCTCTTTTGGTCATTTATATTTCTGTGGTATCTAATGTAATGTCTTCTCTTTCATTTATAGTTTTTGAGTCCTATCTCTTTTTATTGGTTCAGTTTCAGTTCAATTCAGTCACTCAGTCATGTCCAACTCTTTGTGACCCCATGGACTGCAGCATGCCAGGTTTCCCTGTCCATCACCAACTCCCGGAGCTTGCTTAAACTCACATCCACCTTGAGACTTGTTTTATGCCCTAATGTATGATCTGCCCTAGAAAACGTTCCATGTGTACTTGAGAAGAATGTATATTGTGTTGCCATTGGAGGGAATGTTCTATGTATGTTTGTTAGGTTCATTTGGTCTGCAGCATTGTTCAAATCTGCTGTTTATTGATTCCTGTTTGAATGATCTATCTCTTGTTGAGAGTGGGATATTAAAAAATTAATGAGATTTATTATCTCAAGAGCACTGGTTCTCAACAGGGGATGATTTTGCCCCCCAGGGTACATTTGGCAATGTTTGGAAACATTTTTGGTTTTCACAGCTGGTGAGGAAGGACATGGCTATTGCTACCGGCCTTTAGCAAGTTGAGGGCAGAGATGCTGCTAAACATCCTATGATACTTGGGGTAGTCCCACATCAAAGAATTGTCTGGATCAAAAATGGCAGTAGTGCCAAGGTTGAGAAATTCTGCCCTTGAAGAACAGGGAGAAAATGCTAATAGATTTGAGAAAGGATTGGCTAGAACCACTAACAGTTTGAGAGAACCAGGGGTGTTGGGAGGACGACAGCACTCTCCCGTGACCTGTCGGAGCTGGTTGATAGCAGTTCTAGACTGGACTTGATATATTCTATGTACCCTCCTTGCTCCTTTGTCTCAAAGGAGACTTTGAGCAAAACAAAGCACACTTGTTATTTCTGCAGAAAGGAACTTTCATTTTAACTGTTTTTCTTCTCATCAAGAGAGCATCTTGGGGATTCTGGGATCTGGAGTGGTGTAATGACCTTATTAGGAGGATAGGAATAAATCCTGAGTAACACAGTCAAGGTTGAGTGCTCCCAAGAAAGGGCATCTGGAAACATGAGCTTCTAAAATGCTAATGGTTTCTGTTATCTTTCAGGTGGTAAATGTGTCAAGGCTCGAGGGAGACGACAATCCCGTGCAGCTCATCTACTTTGTGGAGGATCAAGATGGAGAGAGACTCAGTGCAGTCAAGTCTTCAGATCTGATTAACAAGATAGACATCCAGAGAGCAGCCATCATCTTGGGTTACCGAATTCAAGGCGCTGTTGCCCAACGTGAGTGCATGAGGCTTGGCCCCTCATAGTCATCTGTGCTGAGCTGGGGTCAAAAGTCTGTCTTCTTTTGATGATAATCTCTGAATTTAAAGCTTTCTTATGTGTGCATAGTAGATTTGTGTCTTATATCTTTATTATTAGGTGTCACTTATATAAGAGGTCAGTCATTAAAATTAGTTCGCCAGGACCTTCTTTATTTTCAGTTGCATGTAGTTGTAACATTCACTGTTCTTTTTCTTACCTAGCATTTTATATTCATAGTGTTATAGTGAGTTTTAGTAGCTTAAGTTAACTTTAATATTTTTCCCTTCTTCCTGTACTAAAAAAAAAAAAGATTTATCCTAGGTAAAATACTGTATTTTCTCTGTATTTATTCCAGAATCTTATATGTCACATTTTGAATGTTGGGGTGGGGACAGTGAGTCAAACAGGAAGCTGGGAGTTACCTTCTGAATTTATTGGCTTCCTCCTGGGTCTTATAATACAAAGAAGTCCTTGATCCTTAGCCTTTTCAATCCTGTTTCTCTCCCACCCTGTCCTTACACCACTCATAATTTAGGGGTGTTTTGATATCTCTTTATTATTGCTGAAAGAGTCTGGGCTCCTGCCCCTCCTCGAGATGGCTATTCTCAATGCCTTTTTTTCCCCAACTCACAGATTTTGGTTATTTAAAAGTAAGAAAAGGAGAGACATGAAAGAGTATATTTTTCTAAATATGGCTTTCTGAATCAGACTACTATTTTAATGTGGGTGTTTTTCCTTTATGTTCCTAGGAGCAATCCTCGTAAGAGCCCAGAGATATTTCCTCCCAACAACAGTAAAGGGATAGCTAAATGTTTAGAAGGAATTTAGCATCAGAGAGTGTTGAAAATCTCCCCCCAAATTTCAGCGATGAAGGCAGTTCTTAAAAAACGACAGCTTTGAAATGATCCTCAGTAATGGAATGTTCTTTGTAAGAGCTGGCCTTGGAAACTAACGAGGAAGAGGGTCAGTGGGCACACTTGCTCCATTTTATAGGTGATCATGGGAGAGTTGAAGCAATTAACCACTGGTGGTTTGTGTTTGTGTATTTGAGAGATGATTGTGTATTGGTGTGTTCTGTTTCAAAGCAGCCAGAGAAAATAATGAAACACTTACTTACATTTCTTCATAGATGGTATTTCTGACTGTTGGATGGGTGCCCCAGTCCAGCTGAGCACTCACTTTTTTAGAAAAGATGCATTGCAGTAGACTCTGGGCACTTTTCAAGGCTACTTCCATCTGCTTTTGCACCTCTCTTGGCTCATTTTTGTGCTGAAGACCACAGGGGTAGCAGTCCTGGGATTGGAAGCTTCAGCCAAGACTAGAGCCAGCCCCCAAAACAGCTGTGGACCCCGTGTCAGGCCCTCATTTTGACGAATCACAGGGTTTTACTAGGTTAGAACTAAGAAGAGTCTCTAGTTGTCCCAGCTCCTCAGTTTGGTTGTGTAACTCCAGTATTGTCAGTTGTTTTCATGCAAGATAAACTACGTGTACAAGCTATATTCATGGCAAACTAAAAGATCCAAACTGTTAACACCCTGTCACTTTCCCCATTCCCTGCAGAGTCTTTGCTTTGAGTAATTTGTGCTTCTTTCAGAGTGCACGTACTTTAGAGGGCTTGCTCCCCTCCCTGGCCACTCAGGGGCCTAAACCCAAACTTAAACCAGCACTAAGCATCTCTTTTTATTGTTACGTCTTCGAGTGAAAACATTCTGATCTCCTGGCATGTGTTAACCATTACAGGATATGAAAAAAGTATGAAACTGAGTCCCTACTCAAAAAGACTGAGGTTGTGTTTGAACAGACAAGGCATAGAATCGTGACCATATTAATGAGCGAAGTAGTATTGTATATCAACATGACACATTTATGTAATAATATGCATCATGAAAGAATAGCACACTACTGTTTATAAGACAAAGACATCCAAGGACAAAAGAAGTTAGACAAGGGGAATCCACCGTTGTCATGGAGAGGTTGTTGTGAAGTGACCGTAATGGATGAGGGAGCTGGGCAGAGGGGAGGGGGTGTTTTGGTTTCCAGAGCCTGGTAATTGGAACCTGAGCTTTAAAAGGACCAGAAAGACTTGAGCTTTTAAGAAGAGCTGAATCTTGCAAGAGAAGGAATATAAAATGAAGAGCATGAAGGCCCAGTACTGGGAGGCTGGGTTAGGGAGAGGAGCCCGTGAAGGAAATTGAGGACCGAGTAATGACAGCATGATCATCCAAGGCCATGGGAGATGGGGGGGGTGGTGCTGCGGTGGGAGGTAGGGGGGCGGAGGGCGGAGGGCGGAGGGCGGAGGATTCAGAATGTGAGTTGAGGGGACTTCCTTGACGGCCCAATGGTTTAGACTTTACTTGCCAGTGCAGGGAATGCTGGTTGGGGACCTAAGATCCCACATGCCAACAAGCCAAAACATAAAACAGAAGCAATATTGTAACAAATTCAATAAAGACTTTAAAGATGATCCACATCCAAAAAAAAAAATATTTTAATATAATTGTAAAATTGACAACTGTACCTTAAGTAAAGCGGTTTCAATGCAAATTCCTATTTCAAGGGCTTAGAGAGAGACCCAGATGAGGAATGAAGACAGTGCTCACAGACCCCTTACTGGGATTTCTGATTTTTGGTGAGGATTAGAAATCTTGCTGCAGTGAGAATTTAGGGAGGGACCTGGTAGAATAAACTGGATGTCAGGAGAATAAGCTGGACGTCAGGAGACCTGGAATCAACCTCACTTGGCCATTGAATTAGCGATGTTCCTTTAGACGCGTCATGGATGTCACTGTGATAGCCCGTGTTGTAGCTGGAACATCCTGAGTTGTGTTTACTGCCCCGTTTTTTGTCTTCAGGGGGTCATCATCTCTCCCCAGTTGGCTTGAGCTGAAATGACGTGGGGGGGTTTCTGCTGGTAGAGGGGGCATTCACTGTCCAGTAAAGGCGCGCAGAGGACTCACCGGGAGACCTTGCTTCCTCGTGTGCAGCTGTGGACAGGGTGAAGAGGCCGTCGCCCGAGTCCCGGAGCAGCAACCTCTGGGTCATCGTGGGCGTGGTCGTGCCGGCGGCGGTGGTGCTGGTGATTGTCGTCATCCTCTATTGGAAGCTCTGCCGCACGGACAAGCTGGACTTCCAGCCTGACACCGTGGCCAGCGTTCAGCAGCGCCAGAAGGTAAGGGGCGGCCCCTCCACCCCCACGTTCACACGAGCGTCTTGTGGGCTGGGCTGGGGCGAGTTCGGGCTCCTGGTACTGAAGGATGGGGAGAGGGGCTGGTCAGGAAGTCTATCGGGCCTATGGGTGGTGTCCCTTCACTTCCGTGTTTGTTTGCTGAAAGCCAGGTCTTCTGTAGTGTTCAGTACCTGCCCAGAAAAAGAAGCTGTGTAAAGACGCAGTAATGCTCTGGGCTCTGAGTTCCACTGTGATTTTATTTTTGAGATATTCAGTTACAAAATCATATCCATTCTGTGCATGAATTCTGATCTATTTTAACCCTGGACGCATTCAGAGAGCAAGAGCCAAGGTAAGTTTTCTTTGATCTGCAACCCCGCTGGGGGGCTCCTTTATTTTCTGTCTACCTTATTGCAAGCCTACTTATCACCTTGATCAAAAGCACTTAATCATTAAAAAGTGGTAATATGTGCCTTTTTCTTTTTGATTATATATATATATATGTATGTATGTACATAATGAGTCTTTATTTGACAACCTTCAAAAAAAGTTCGGAGTACTAGTCAACCAAAAGGAATTCTGTGTGGTCTTTCTTGTTAGCAACACCCAAAATGCATCAGCTGCAGTTTCCAGATTGGGATACTTGAGGGAAGAACAAAACAACCTGAGTACAAAATTTTCTGTTTTTTTTTTTTCCATATCCCCCCTACCCAACCCTACTCTACAATCTTTTAGAGTTAATTAACTTACACCTAATTTGACAGCAGTTTCTTTCTTTATTAGCAACTCTTTTTCCATGTCTTTCCAAGGCATTCCTTGGAAATTTATAATAGCAGTTTTTAGTTTTTATAATAGCAGTTCCCTTCTCATACTTACGTTTCAACAGTATCTGCAATATTTGTCACATATAAGTGTCAGAGCGAAGACACAGCATCTTGGTCAGTATCTAGCTCCTCTGGTGAAGCCTGAACATGCCAAGTAAGAGAAGAGCTGGTTAGGTGCAAATCCTGAGCTCAGCACACCTGTCAGCCCCACCCAGGGCATGAGAAGTGGTGGCTGCCGACTCTAATAACATGTATCCACTATGGGTCACACATTTAGAGGACTCGATGGACTCTAAGAGTTTAGTGAGAAAAAGAAATCAAGAGGCAGAAGAACAGGAAATAAAGGACCACCCTATTAACCTTCTAATTTTACTCTGATTTTCTGGGTATTAAAAAATCCTGTACATAATAAACCTAGACCTGATGGATGAAAAAAGTGAAAGTGAAAGTCACATCCAACTCTTCGCAACCCCATGGACTATACAGTCCAGGCCAGAATACTGGAGTGGGTAGTGTTTCCCTTTTCCAGGGGATCTTCCCAACACATGGATCGAACCCAGGTCTCCTGCATTGCAGGTGGATTCTTTACCAGCTGAGCCACCAGGGAAGCCCAAATTAATTCAGCATTATTTAGAGTCATTTTTGGGGTTGTTTCTTTGACCACACTGTGCAGCATGTGGGATCTTAATTCCCAGACCAGGGATCGAACCCACATTCCCTGCATCAAAAGTGTGGAGTCTTAATCACTAGATCACCAGGGAAGTTCTGAGGGATGAAAAAAAGAATTTAAAATGTATTTTGCTTGTAAAAGTAAATGAAGAGCATTCTTCTTCTTATGATTTAACGAAGAAATGAAAACTCTTGATTAAATTGCAAGCTTATGCTTATCCAGCATTTTGGAAGCAGTTTATACATTAAGGTTATATTTATTACCCATCTTCATTTATTATTGACATAATCTGCTAAGGTTGTTTTGTTGTCAGACTGGTGAATAGCATGGAAAAAACCTGGGGGGGTAAAATCCTTGATGTACTAAATGATTCATCGTGTGACTTTCACTGTGGTGACATCAGCAATTGGTTTGGAAATGTTTTGGGTTCTGGTGAAAGAGCACTGTTACAGAGAGATTTAGCCAGTGTAGACAGTTCTGTATTTGGGTCTGTACTGTGCTGTAATTCCTCACATAAACACTCCTGTGGAAACCTATCCATTGTCTCTCACTTCAGTAAACTGTCAAGAGAACCACATCCCTGAAGTTCACAATGGACTGTTCTGAAATATTCTAACCCCTGATGCTGCTGTCCCTCAAATAAACAGTCTCCAATAGAACTTTCCGCCTTTGGAGTTGTGTTCTGCATGTGCTGCCTGGGTTGGCGTATTCACTTTTACAGCATCTTTTCAGGAAAGGTTTTTTGTACCAAGGATTCCGCAAGAGAACAGGTGTCCTTGACTTGGTTAGAAGCATAGCAGGGTCTTTGTTTTGCTGGCATAAGAGCCCATCGTTTGGATCTTGTCATGTTTTTCTAATAAGAAGATGATGCTCTCCATTTAGTTCAAAAACAAGCATCTCTGCTTCATAAGTGTTTCTTCTAAGATTATCTGACAATAGTAAAGTGCCTCTAGCCTATTCTTCAGGGCACTTTGCAAGGATGCTGTCTTCCCTGTGACTCAAAAGAGCAGAGGCTCTTTTTCCTTCTTGTGTGGCTGTTTTCACTCTCTACTCTGCTCACCCCACCCCCTGATGCTGCTTCACTGCTATTCTCTGAAATCTTTTAGCAAATCCCAGAGCTGCAAACATCTGGAAACAATAAATCTGCTGACCCCAAATCCACACCCCTTTCTTCTTGTAACCAGAGGGAAACCTCTTCCTATTGTCTGGGAGTAGATTAGTTTTGAAATATGATAAGAGAGAGAAGCCATTCTGTCCTATTTTGAGGCAAAGTCTTTTAAAATTTTGAATGATAAAAAGAAAAAACACAAACCCTAACGCATGTCTTTCTTTTTATCTGTATTCTCTTTAATCTGTAGCCCAAAGGCATCACTTTTTACTGCTACCAGTAAAATTACAGCTTGGACCCGCCTCGCCCTGTTGAGGTTCTATTTAAAGACATGAACAGCGTTGGCTTAGATGTTGCCTGCTTGGTGAAAACTTGTTCCTTCTGATGGGGACGTTCCACACCCCGTGGTTGGCCTGGGACCTGGTTCTTGGCTTGCGGGCTCTGTGGGCGGCCGGATGGGGCTGCCTCAGATGCCGCGTGTTCATTCACCAAGTGCTGAGCCTTTGCTCTCTGCCAAGCAGGGTCGGGCTGGGTGACCAGCGCAGATAACATGTGGCCCCTGCCTTTGAGGGCTTTGATGAGGGAGGAAGCGGCTCAAAGCCGACACACAGCAGCGTGTCTGTCCAGGGCTCTGGGGCAGCTCAGATAAGGGGCTGAAGCTTGGAGGTTGAGGAGGGGAAGCCAGAGGAAGTGGGCCCAGGTGGTAGGGGAGGGCAGGTGTGGACGGCCGGAAGGATGGGGCGAAGGTGAATGTAACGAAGGGCACAGCCAACACCGAGGTGACAGGTATAGGCAGGAGCGAGGCTTGGAGGGTTTCTGGGACTTGTCAAGGGGTGGAGGTGATGCTCTCGGCTTGGGAGAGCACTGAGGGTTGTCAGCGGGGAGGGTAGCTTGGACGCATTGATTTGTTTTTGTTTTCAAATTTAGTTTCATTGGGTCTTTTGGTGTGTGCGCGGGCTCTTTGTTGTGGCTCCCAAGCTTTCTCTGGTTCCAGTGGGAGCTTCTCTTTTTGTGGTGCCCAGGCTCTAGAGCTCGTGGGCTCAGAATTTACAGTGCTGCATGGGCTTAGTCACCCCAAGCATAGGGGATCTTAGTTCCCTGACCAGGGATCGAACCCACATCCCCTGCATTGGGAGGCAGAGTCTTAACCATGGGGCCACCAGGGAATCCCCTGGACACACTGATGTTTGAAACAGTTCCTGAAGAGGGCAGTGTGATCAGCAGGTTGAAGTGAAGCTGGAAGAGTTTCTTCCATCTGAGCAGAATTCGTCTTATCCCTTCTCTGCAAGGATTGTGTTAACAGCTAAAGTGTTGGTGGTTCCAGGGTGTTCTAGGTCAGCTGACTAGGACTTGCCAGGGCCTGGGGGTGGGAGGATCTTGGAGAACTGCTTGCCCACCTCCTAGACCTTGGGGTGAGCCGTGGCCCCACCCTGGGCTGCAGGGGAGACCCGGGGTGGCAGTAGGCTCGCCTTGTCTTCACCCCCTCAATGGAGAGAGCATGGTGGCCCTGGTGACTCCCCCCCGACCACATGCATCAAACAGCAAGCGCTTAAACAATGGTGCTGTCTTGGAGGTGGTGCGTTTTTGTTCAGCCACTTTGGGGGTCGGCTGTGCGGTTTCCCTTGTCATCTCAGCTGCTCCTTCCTAAGGTGGGGCTCAGGCTAACCCGAGTCCTGGGGACTTCACTCTGCGTTGTTCCATCTGGGTCATATTATGTTTATGGCTCACACATTTTAAAATTCACCCGGCATCTCTCCTGTTACTTGGCTGACCTGCCGTACCAGCCCACCCCAACTTGTCAGCGACATATTCCAGTGAGACACAGACAGTGGAGTTGTCCCTTCTGTGATACATTAAAGAAGGAACAAAAGAGCTGTCTGCTTAGAAAAACTGGGTCCTAATAGGAATATTGAAAGCACTCGTGAATCTTGACTCTCTTATAAAATGCTGATTGACGCTTTTTTTCTGCATGTGAAGGCTGGAAGCACAATATGCCAGACTTAACTCTATAGATTTTTTTAAGACATAGAAAAACTAGAAAAAGTGTTCTGGGAAACAGGGAAGAAACAAAGGGAGCTAATAGTTCCATAAGTGAGGGGAGCAGTGTTTTTCTCTAATTTTTTCCTTATGTGTGGAGATGGCCTTTGTTTTGTGTATAAGCACAGACTGGTTGCCAAATTTCTATTGTCATAGGAGGAGGCGACTCACCCAGCCTGAGAGAAGTCAGGGGTCTAATGAACGTATTTAAAGATGCTAGTTGGAATGAACCAAAGCCAACAGGACTTTAAGGCTGTAATGGATGTATATTTCATTTATGATGTATACCCTTTTCTTGGTTCCCCACAAAACCCAGTAAGTTTGGTGACCTTTCTTAAATTTGTTCAGTCATCAGATATTTATTGGTGGTCTACCGTGGGTCATGTTGCTGAATTAAAACATTTTGTATCTAAATTTATAGCTGTAGTTTTATCTGGTCTCTGAGAACTCTCAACTGTCTATTTATATCAACTTTCATCGACCAAGAGCAATACTATTGCTGTCAGTCTCATTTGTTTGGTGCCTTGGCATTTATGAAGCATTTTGATATTGTCGGGGAGGAAGGAATTTTATAGGCTGGTCTACAAATTCAATCGACCTGAGACAGATTGACAGGAGGAAATCACAGAAAGGTTCAATAACATGGGTTCATAGGAGAGACCCATGTATGGAACTGAGTAACTCACCACAATGGCCAAAGTGCCCACCTTAAATACCACCAGCAGCTAAAGACAAAAGAGGATGTCAGAGGCAGTGGTTTGGGACTTTAGAGGGGAGGAAGGCAGTTCACAGGGAGATGGAAAAGCTAAGGTTTGGTAAATAAATGCTTGGTGAGTCTTGCAGAGATGGGGGACCAGAGAGGAATGGTGATAGCTCTCTTTCTGGAATAGGTCCTCTTGTCTGTATTTTTTAGGCAGTTAGATGGGGGAATATCAGAGTTTTTCCTGAGTCTTTTGGGCCTTGACTCCCACCCACCCTCTGGGTCATCACGGAGCACCGAGCCGAGCTCCCGGTACTATACAGCTGCTTCCCACTGATGTACGTTTCTTATATAAACCTAAGAGTATATCAGGGCAGGCATTTAGTTCCTAGACCTGGCTACACAGGCTGTACCAAGGAGGCGATGCTGTCTATCTTTTTCCCTTATTCACTTTAGAGACCTTTGCTTAGAGGAGGCAATCTGTGGCTCTTCCTTCAATTTTGATAAAAGCAAATCATCTAACTTTCAAAAGAGGAGATTTTGATGGTTATGATTAGATGACTATTGATGATATCTGTTACTCTCTCATTTAGAGGAAACTTATGGAGCTAAAATGAGGTGTAGCTGGGGCCAAGCACCCCATGGATGAGAGATGTGCCTCTCTGTAAAGCAGGAGAAGGATTCTTGAGAAAGGAGGAACCAGAAGTTTATCTACAGAGGTTGTCTGTTTGGCGTTTGATTGCTTTAAATGGAACACGTGCCCCCAGGAAGGTGTGTGTGTGTGTATGCATTTTCAGTTTTTCCTGACTCTTTGCAACCCCATGGACTGTAGCCCACCAGGCTCCTCTGTCCACGCAATTCTCTAGGCAAGAATATTGGAGCGGGTTGCCATTTCCTCCTCCAGGGGATCTTCCCGACCCAGGGATCGAACCTGTCTCTTGTATTGGCAGGCAGATTCTTTACCACTTGCTCCACCTGGGAAGCCCACAGTCCCAGAGATTTGCAGAGCCCCGGTGAAGATGGCTGGGAGGTAGGGGGAGTCATGGAGATGCAGGTTTGGACTCATTGTTTGGGAAACAACGTTTTTGAGCCAAGAAATGTGCACCACGCACAATCTGCCTGTGTGTGGTGAAGTCGACTGCTGGTAACAAGATGTTATTAATTTAGAAAATATAGGCATGCCAGTCTTTGCCTTTTGTTTCCAAGCAGCGTTTTTGTAAGCATGATTTATATCAAGTTCTGTCCCCCTCTGCTGGCGTAAGTCGTTATTGCAGGCTGCTTTCCTTCTACCCATCCAGCCTCGCTTTTTAGTGCTGAAAGACCTTAGAGATCACAAACAGAAGCCACTGATGTTGTCACTCACCTGTGTGTAAAGTTAGTGCAAATACCGCAAAACCTTTCACTTCCACATGCAGCATATTGTGTAGAACGGCTCCTTAGATGAGTTGGACTTTGTCTTCTGACTGATGGCACTCTCTGTGAGTGTAGAATTCAGCCTGATGGAATTGTATGGGGGACTCCTGCCAAAGAGACCCTTGGGACCACTACTAATACGTGGTTTATTTTCCTCTACTTTGCAAGCGAAGCAAAGGGAACAGTTAACACCCACCCCTGGGTATTACAGTCTGGCCTTCTCTCATTCCCCTCTGTCCTGACCCTTGTAGTGCAGGTAATGTGATCTTTTACCAGATCTCAGGTCTTCTCTGGTCCCTGATGCAATTGAGGACATTCTCTGAGTAGCCACCTCTTTTTATTTCTACATTCGGTCTGTCCTCTGGGTCCTAGCACAAGTCCCCATTCTCTGAGAAGAGTCTCGCCCCATGCACTATCCAGGCTTGGGTCATTGCTGTGACAGTGGTCAGCATTGTCTTGTGATGTCTTTATATCGTGGTCTAACTTTTAAATCTTTGTATTTTAATCTGTAGCAAGTATCTGTCTTTCCTGAAAACTCAAGGTATAATTCTTGCACGGGTCAGTGTTCTAGAGATGCATGTTGAATTTAATGGGTAAGACTGCAAGCACACTCTTGGGTCAGAAGCTGGCACTCACCATCCTGCCGGCACTCACCATCAGCTTGACTGTCTTACTTGTGTGTGTGTGTTTCAGTTGCAGATCCCTAGTGTGAAGGGCTTCGACTTCGCTAAGCAGCACCTGGGTCAGCACAATAAGGACGACATACTGATCATTCACGAGCCAGCACCACTGCCAGGACCCGTGAAGGACCACACCACACCCTCTGAGAACGGAGATGTGCCGAGCCCCAAGGCAAAGATCCCTTCCAAGAACATCCGTCACAGAGGAAGGTTCTTACTGGGCTTTCTGTATTGTTCGCTATCGCGACTCGCGGTTCTCTTTTCCATTTGTCAGTTTCCAGTAGCAGAAGGGCTGACAGTGAGTGTTGCCCGAGTCTGCAGCCTGGAAGACTGATGAGATTGGCCCCACAAATCAGCACACCCAAGGGCCCTTGATCCACTCTAATGGACTCCCAGAGGAGGCCCATGTGCTTTCTTTCCCCAAAGTGGGTAAGATTATGAATCACCAATCCGTATGGTTTGGTGGTCCCCTTGGAACTTCATTTGGGATTGACCAGCTTGAGGGTATATATTCTGGGGTGACCACACTAGGCCCTCTGGAGGTGATGTTAGGAATAATGTACAAAAATGGATAAAAACTGCATGGCTTATGATACACACTTGGCCAGCATCAGCTCTGCCCTTGATTGTTATGCCAGTGGCTGGAGCCATGGCTTCCTCGCTTGGTCTGCAGGTGACCTTCATCACACCCTGCTTTCCTTGCGTGGCTTTTCTCCATCTGCCCCTGCTGTTACCCTCGTTAGCATGTGTGCATGGATTCTTCATCGCCCTGCACCCAGCTCCCCTTTCCCAGTTAATTCCCATTCCTCTTACCAACATTAAGCATACGGGGCACTGTTGCTAACAGACTACCTAGTGTGACCGTATGACCCTGTGAGACAGGCTGCCCTTCTCTAAAGAAGACAATGTTCAGGGTCGGGTTTTATTAAGTTGCCTTTAGGTCAAAGCGTGATCAGGCTTTGGTATTGAAGCCCCCAATTATCAGCCTTCTTTTGAGCTTTGGAGTGCCAAATTCTGGTTTTCTGTTGAGAGGGGAAAAGTGTGTGATCATACCAACATTCAAAATGACATTGTAATTTCTGATTTATCAGAAAACATACCCCAGGGGTTCTGGCCTAGTTTTAAGAATTTAATGAACGTTAGAACATGATCTTTACAAAAGAAGATGAATAATGTAGAGAGAGATCATTTGCTTAATTATTTTGCAGAGTGAGAATAAGTCAAATCATTAAAGATGATTGAATATGCTAGTACAATTTAACAAAGTCTTTTTTTCTCGTCTGGAAGCCTCAGCCTGGACACTTAGTCACAACATCTCAATGGTCTGCATGGTTAATATCATAGTTTAGCATTCCTCAGGGGCACTAGAATGTCTGGGCATTTCAGAAAGTTCAAAGAGAAAGGGTGTTAACTGATTAAGGCTTTTCAGTGGATCCTGGAGCAACTTGGGTTCTATGACACACTTGCTTTTTTACATATAGAATCAATTAACAGCGATAATCATTGCCTTTGTGTTAGTGTAGGCTTCCTCCAAAGATTTGGAATTATATGGGGTGACTGCAGAATGACCCTGGCTTCCTAGAAATTCTGCAGGCCCAGCTAACTCCTAACCAAGCTTGAATCCCAGATCCTCTGATCCAACCCACACCAGTCCCAGATTGCCAGGTTTCCCCTGGGAGCTTGGGGGTGGGGGGAATGTCCTCCAGCGACTACTTGGTTTCCTAGCATTTGTTGAAATGAGTCTGCTGAGCCATTTAGTAAGGCATGTCATGCTGTCCTCACAAGGTAACTGTGCTATCAATGTGGTCCTTGAAGATGCTGCACCTCGAAACAAGGTTTTGGACGCTTTGAGTTCTCCCAGTTTTGCCCAGAAGCCTGACTTCCACATCCAGATGAATGTGACCTTTCTACCTGCTTTCTTTCTCTTTCCTAACATCTGCATTTGTTTTGTGTCTGCAGAGTTTCTCCCTCAGATGCCGACTCCACCGTAAGTGAAGAGTCCAGTGAGAGGGACGCGGGGGACAAGACTCCAGGAGCCGTGACCGATGGCAAGTCCCACAGAGCCCCACAGAGTGGTCTGTGACCCTTCTTGTTCTCCACTTTAAAAGTAGTAATTATGAGGGACTTCCCTAGCAGTCCAGTGGTTTGGACTCTGCCGTTTCATTGCAGAGGGTGTGGGTTCGATCCCTGGTCAGGGAACTAAGATCCCACAAGCCCTGCATTGTGGTGAAAAAAAAAGAAGTCATTATGAGGTTCTAGTAGGCTAGACTCTTATACTGCTTCAAATGCAGAACATAACAATACCCTGTGCATTAGAATACTCATCATTCATACAGTGGATTTCTCAGATTAGTTGTTACCATCTAACGCTGTATCAGTGTCTGCATTGAGCTGGTGGGCCAGGCTAGAAGTTAAGAGATTCACTGATGTGTGTTTTGAGGTTACTGGTCATGTTTGAATCTAGTTTGGGGTCCTAACAATTTTCCTCTTCAAAGGACAAGGAGGAATCCAACTAAAACTGCATCCAGGGTTCAGTGACCTTCTTAAGAGCCCATTTAAGTATTTCACAGCTGTCACTGTCAGAAGACTGATTATTTACTTATTCTAGGTCCAAGGGCTTTATATTTGATCCTAGTCCTAGGTCTGTCTTCCAGCAGATAGTTGAGCGTGGTCAGATGGTTGCGTGTGTTGTCAGATGCTGTTGCTTCTTAGGCCAGGTTTGAAATGTACCGCACTCCCCTTCTGAAGAGTATTGTCATAAAATTCATGTGTCTTGCAGTAGAACTTAGCTGATCGGTCTTACTAGACTTGGAACCTTTTTTGGCCTGATGACTGGGTAGCTTTGGTGTTAGTTTAATAGATTCTGTTAAATAAATGCTCTTCTGTTAATAATGCTCTGTTAAATAGAAATGCTTTATTTATATTTCAGGGTTGTGTTTTAGTAGTGCAAAGAAAATGGAAGTGTCTCTGGATATCATTTTATTATTTTTTTATTTGGCTGTGTCACGCCTCTCTTGGGATCTTAGCTCCCAATTAGGGATTGAACCCAAGCCCTTGGTAGTGAAATTGCAGAGTCCTAACCACTGGACTGCCAGGGAATTACCAGGATATGATTTTTAATAGTAATTTTTATACTTAAATTTTCCATTACAAATATCTCTGTATAAAATTGCAGTACAGAATGAACCATCTTCTGTAAATGAATAGATTATGGACAGAGTTGGAGAGCCTATTTTATCCACTGTCATGTTTGTGACCTTGTATGTCCCTTAGTTGTGGGAACTCCTCTGGGACTAAACCAGCTGATTTTTGAGATGCCTTCCAGTTGTTTCTTTTTTGGTGTTAAAAACAAAAAAGAAAAACCTTAGAATAAGGGAAGAATTTTTTTCTTTAGATCTAATGATCTAATTTCATAGAATCTTAAAAATTAGTTAGCACCATGGTAACAGGTGCACTGTTTCAGATAGACAGGATTAAAATCTAATTTTGATCCTGGGAAAGAAATATTTGGGGGGAAAAAAATCAGCTCTGGAGCTTCTTAATTTCTGTTAGTTGTATGTCTGAGTAAATCTTCCTCTTTAGTTCCTGTTTTAACTCCTTCTGTGTTTAGTCGCTCAGTCGTGTTAGACTCTTTGTGACCCTTTGGACTGCAGCCCACCAGGCTTCTCTGTCCATGAGATTTTCTAGGCAAGAGTACTGAAGTGGGTTGTGATTTCCTCCTCCAGGGGATCTTCCCAACCCAGGCATCAAACCATCGTCTTCTGTGTCTCCTACATTGCAGGCAGTTTCTTTACCCACTGAGCCATCAGGAAAGCCCTTTAACAATCCTTGCTAATAGTATTCGAACCAGTATATTATACATGACTAACAAAAGTCAAATATCACTCTCAACATATATTCAAAATCCAGATAGTAATAAGCATGTCAGTGTTGGGGCTTAGAGTTGACTATGGAAGGAGACAAGTGGCCTAGACATTCTTGTGGGTCCTAGAAGGCTCACATGCCACTATTTTGATTTAAAGATTTTTTTTTTTTTACCATCCTGGAGGAGGCCACCTCTGCCTTCAGTATCAGTGACTTAATGGGACACCCTTTGTGACATTTGCCGTTGGTTTAAAAGTTTGAGTTAGCAAGGCTGGTCTTATCTGGTAGAGCTAATTATCTCCTGCTAGGCTTCATGCCTGTAATTTGAGTAGCTCCCTGGTGAATGGTGCTGTCTGGCTGTGTTTGCATTATACAAAGGGTCAGGCTCCCTCCAGGCAGGGAAAGAAAGCCCAGGAATAGCCTGAATGCAGACAAGTGTGCCTCCTCGCTAAGAGACATCTTCATTCACAGAGTTAAGTATGTAATTTCTAATTACTTGGGATGAGTATTACTGAACTTAAATGAATATAATTCAAATTGAGAGGAAATACAAAGATCTGTGTCCCACTACTGTGCATTCCTTATATAAAATATCAACTACTACTCCTTACCGCTTTGCTCAACACTTTTTTACACTGAGAAAAAACCTCTACATTTTTCACTTATGATTGAGGTTTCAAAACTCAGGCTTTTGTTTAGAAACAGTTTCTACATGCCCTTACTCCTTCTCCTGGCCTGTGTGTGTGTGCTCAGTCATGTCTGAATCTTTTGCAACCCCTTGGACTGTAGCCCACCAGGCTTTTCTGCGCATGGAATTTTCCAGGCAAGAATACTGGAGTGGGTAGCCATTTTCTTCTCCAGGGGATCTTCCAGACCCAGGGATGGAACCCCATGTCTCTTGCGTCTCCTGCACTGGCAGATGGATTCTTAACCACTAGCGCCACCCGGGAAGCCCCTCTCTTGGTGTTTGGCCATTTATTTTCAAGCAATGTTAGAGTAGCCCAAAGGTGACTGTGGCTTAGAGGAAGGGCATCAGGGATCTTAGTGCATGTAACTGGGAGTTCTTTTCATCTATTTGGCCCTTCTTAACCTCTCTCTTTGCTTTTTAAAAATAAAAGTTTATTGAGATTATTTCTGTTATAAAAGTAATACTGACTAGAGAAAATCCTCATTATAGAAAATACAAAAAAGTGGAGAAAGTGCCCATTATACCAAGATCCAGTCTCTATTAACATCGTAACGTGTTTTTCTTTTTTCTATACATTTAAGTGTCTTTCTTCTTTGCAGTTCCGATTACTAAAAAAAAAATTCATTGTGGTGAAATATGTGTAGCCATAGAATTTACCCTTTTAACCACTTTTTGAGTGTTATCTGCATCTCTTTGTAAAGAAGAAACTAATTCCTTGCAGCAGCAGCTTTTTCTTCTCTTTGACTCTTCAACTTCATTTTTTGCTGCATTAGAACTGAAAAGCCAGCAGCATTCACCATTAATCAGTACTTGCTAGCAGGTCCACAGTCCCCCTGGTCTTTTTTTTTTTTTTCTGACGGTAAGTTGCCTTGGCAACTAAATTTATATCACTCTCACTCCAGATGAGCATGGATGTTCAGAGCTGTTATAAATGTTGCCCTCCACATTCTGTAAATCGCTCCTGGCCGGCCAAACTCAGGCTCCTCTTACCCTTTACCCTGTCTTACTGAAGACTTTGAAATACCTTTAGACAAAACAGGACCATCTGGGGCACAAAGTGTCATAATGATTTTCTTATATTCCCTACAGATATTTGTAATTATTACTGAGGTTGAAGGAGACACTATTTAACCCAGACAGTTTAGGCTCAAAGAGTGACATTTCAAATATTCTGCCATGGAGTTGTGGATGTGTTTTTGGTCTGGGACCCATCTAAGGATCCTTTAGGAAATAATCCATATTAATTGTGATGGTTTGCTCTTTTCTTAGGGTGACGCTGTTTACTAACTCTGCTCTTCCCTCTGTTCCAGGGGCAGCACCCAGTTCAGGGAACGAGCAGCACTCGTCAGCCTCCATCTTTGAGCACGTGGACAGGATCTGCCGCCCCTCAGAGGCCGGTCGGCGGGTCCCCAGTAAAATCCAGCTGATTGCCATGCAGCCCATCCCGGCTCCTCCAGCCCCGCACCCCGCCTTGGCCGACCGCGGGGCAGAGACCAACAGGATTCACAAGGAGGTATCTGCTTTTATGGAAAAGTACAGTAATTAAAAAAAAACACAAAGCCCTTAGATTCTGATTTGGTCAGTGCTTAAAAACGAGTGAAAGTTAGTGTCAAAAGGTCACTAACAACGTGAGCTCCTCACGTGTGTGTGTGCATGCAAGTTGCTTCAGTTGTGTCCAGCTCTTTGGGACCCAATGGACTGTAGCCCACCAGGCTTCTCTGTCCATGGGATTCTCCAAGCAAGAATAATGGAGTGGACTGCCATGCCCTCCTCCAGGGGATCTGTCTACCTGACCCAGGATCGTGTCTCTTATGCCTCCTGCATTGGCAAGCGAATTCTTACTAGCGCCATCTGGGAAGTCCCATGAGCTGCTCACGATGATTCTTAATTTTAAATCTGCTACTCAGTATTTTTAGGTCAGATACTGATCATGGACACTAGTGGGCACATTGGGAGATGTGCAGACTAAAGACCAGGGCTGGCTATCCTTAGAAAGTCCGCCTTAGCCCGAGGCTGGGGTTTGGGAATGAGATTTTGGAAAGATCCCCACCATTCTCAGAATAGAGTGGCTCGCTGTACCTAAACTGTTTTTGTACAAACAATATGATGTATGCCGAACAGCTCTTTCTGGAGTCTGGAATTTTGGTACATGCTAGGCAGAGGGTGCCTATGTGAGCAGTCTCCAGTAAAGAGCCTGTGAGCATTGAGTATCTAATAAACTTCCCTCATAGACGTTTTGCACGTGTTGTCACAGGTCACTGCTGGAGGAATTCAGCACACCCTACGTGACTTTACCAGGAAAGGACTCCTGGAAGCTTGTGCCTGGGTCCTCCAGACCTCACCCTATGTGCCATTCCCCTATGCTGGTTTTGCTTTGTAGCCTTTTGCTGTAATAAATTGGACTGAATGCTGAGTCCGGAGGGTTCTCCTAGTGAATCACTGAACGCTGAGTAATCTTGGGACCATGGTAGATTCTGTGAACTCTGATAGAGCTGGTCTGGCCCCAAGATCTAAAGCATGATTGGTAAAATACCCTATTCTAGTGACTCCTGGAAGAGTGAGTTAGATCTGCTTTCTTCCTAAGATTCTGGAATCAGAAGGCCAGCTCCAGTCACTGTTAAGCTGAACTTGAGAAGTTTGACCTGGGCTGGACCATGAGTGCAGTGATAGTATTGAGGGCTGCACGCATGACAGCATCGTGGCTGTGTTTCCTGCCGCTAAGAAATGCCTGCTGCTGTTGTGAGTTCTGCCAGGTAAAGTAGTAATTGATACAACTGAATCCTTAAAGTGGATCATCTTATAGAAGTCTCATCAAGAGTTATTACACTGTCTCTTCTCCATTGGCTCCTTGCCAAGGACGTGACCACAAGAACGTGCATCATGGGTTCAAGGTGGCATGTGCTGTCCCTTCTCACCAATGCTTGGGAGCCCTGGGGTTGCTCACATGACCCCCATCCTAGCCTAGACCTGTTTCTATCAGTCTGGTGTTGCAGATGTCTCATACCAGCCGTGAGTAAGCACTCTTGAGTGGGTTCTCTGTGTGACTGAAAGAAAGATGAGAATGAGCTCACCAGGCCCATGGCCTCACCACTGGAAAGTGTTCATCTTCACTTTGTTCTTTTACTGTCTTTTAAAAATGTATCTGATGGGTACATATGGTATAGGAAACATATATACTGATTATGAAGCATAAAATGAAAACCCAACTTAAGAGCATTATCAGTTCTGGTGGACCTACCTGTATGGTAGGTACAGACATCTCAATGGAAATGTTTTCTTCATAGGAGGTTCTGGCGCAGATCCAGGCATATCTTAGTCCTCCTGTGAGACCTCATGTATTTTAAAGAACAGATCCTGAAAGAGTTAGAGGGGCTTCCTGAATTCTCCTGCTGGGAAGTTTGTCGAGACTCTCATCTAGCTGACCCTCCTTCTCAAAGTCTCAAGGAGGACGTGGCTTCTGGTCTGCTGTGGTGTTGCAGACCATGTCCTGTCTTGGTCTGTTGTCTCTTTCCAGCTGGAGTCCCATCTTGGTTTCCTTTTTCCCCCTCTGTCTCCCTCCATCTCACTTGCTATTAAGTTCTCTGAAGCAGGGCTAAGGGCTTTGAAAATGAGGTAATGTTCATTGATAAGGCAGGCATTCCCCCGTCTGCTCTCCACCAGAGCCCAACAGGCTGACCGCTCCCGGAGTCGTGGCCTCCTTCTCCTAGACATGCATCTGCATTCCTGCTTCTGGCCCTTGCCCTCTGCCCACTACCCTTTCTCCGCAACACTTCAGACGTAGTTCACGCCCCATGGAGCCAGGAGGATGTGTTTCCATACTTGCCTATTTTCTTCTTTAAGGAGAGGGGTCTCCTGTCAGGGGGCTTGTTTCGGTAACACTGAAACATCATTAGTGAATGGCTATTTTATTGTATAGTGCAAATATCTTCTTTGAACTGTTTTAATTTAAAAACTTATTAAGTAATGATACTATTGGGTATAGAAAATGTTTACTTTTTTCTCAGGGAGAATTACATCTAGGAATCACTGCCCCTCAGCATCTTCAAAATTGCCACTGGACAATTTCCTGTGTTTGAGTACTTTTGCCCTTCCCAGGTCTCGCAGTGGTACAGAATCTGCCTGTCAATACAGGAGATGCTAAAGACATGGGTTCCATCCCTGGGTCGGGAAAATCCCCTGGAGGAGGAAATAGCAACCCACTCCGGTATTCTTGCCTGAAAAAATCCCATGGACAGAGGAGCCTGGCGAGCTTCAGTCCATGGGGCCGCAGAGAGTCAAATAGGACTGAGCGCATAGGCACGCATGTCCTTTTTGGGGGCCGGTACCGAGGCTTCTCCGCTCACACGCACCACGTGGAGGGCGGGGACGCAGCTAGGGGACGGTGGCAGGCTCTCCGCGGCTGGTGTCCCTGTCGCCCCTTTGGGGCCTCTTGGGAGCCTAGGACAGCTGTGTGTCGGGGGCGGGGGGTGTCGGAGGGAGGGCAGGGGAGAGACACAGGACGCCTCCGGACTACTTTGTGCACGGGTCCATGGAACCGTGGAAACGGTCGGTCTGTCTCGCTCCCCAGATCCAGACAGCGCTGCGGCACAAGTCTGAGATCGAGCACCATCGCAACAAGATCCGGCTGCGCGCCAAGCGCCGCGGGCACTACGAGTTCCCGGTGCTGGACGAGCTGTCGTCGGGTGACACGCGGGAGCGGCACCGCGTGTACCGCAGGGCGCAGATGCAGATCGACAAGATCCTGGACCCCACGGCCAGCGTGCCCTCCGTGTTCATCGAGCCCAGGAAGAGGTGGGCGTGCTGCCGAGGGGGAGGCCGACCCCGCCTGGCGGTCGCCTTCGGGAACTCCGGGCTGTCGGGAGGGGGCGACCCCGCCTGGCGGTCGCCTGTGGGGAAGGCTGCTTCCACCCCAGTTACCCCAGGACTCGCCATTCCCGGGCTTCCTGTCTCCTAGCATTCAGCTTTCTGAAATGGGGGCCCCTTCCTTGTCAGACGCTGAGCCCTGGCTCCCCCTGCCCTCTGTCCTCGTCCTGCCCTCGCCCCCCGTGTCATCACCACCCTCTGCTTGCTGGATGCTCATTTCTTTTCCCGCTGCTGCCCTCAGCTTCTTGTCCTCTTGGTCTCCGAGACCCCTGCTCCTTCAGGGAGAGGCGTTTTCTGTAAGGCCGGTTCTCATTTGTGTCTTGCTCTGCCCACCCCTGTATTGGATCAGGCTGCCTGTGGGTGGACCCTGTGCCCTGTACCTGGTGGGGCCCCGAGTCTCCACTCAGCTGCTCCCCACAGATGGGCCTGCCGCCCTACCAGCCATGGCCTCATTGCCCTCTAGACACTCATCTACATTCCTGTTTCTGGCCCTGGGCGAGATCCCAGCTTCACCTCACACTCTCCCCACCTCCCTCCTTATTTATTATTTTTGTTGGATAAATTGGACGTATCCAAAGCTCCTCCGCCCTCTTCAAGACCTAGGTCAGGTCTCAGTAGCCAGCGATGATGTTATTCTGTGTTGTTCTGTGTGTTTAGTATTGTCTGCCCAGGTGGACTGTGCCTTTCTTAGAGCAGAGACTGTGTTTTACACGTTTATATCCTGTGGTGTGTTTCATACAGTGGCCAGCAGGGTCCTAGGTGCTCAGAAAATCCTTAGCCTTTAGTTCATGAGCCAGGGCAGGAAAATTATTTCCTATGAAGGATAATGTCTTTTTCTCCTGGCAGCTCCAGGATAAAACGTTCCCCTAAGCCACGCCGGAAACACCAGGTCAACGGCTGCCCTGGAGATGCTGAGAAGGACAGACTTATCACCACAGACAGTGACGGCACTTACAAAAGGCCGCCTGGTGTCCACAACTCTGCCTATATTGGTTGCCCGGTGCGTACGCCGACCCTTGCGTCTGTTGGCCAGTGGGAGATGAGTGAGCAGTGCCAGCTGCGGCCACGTGTGGGTTGATGCTCCAGGGCCAGCCGGGCCGTGGGGGCGCATGTGGGTGGGGGCGGGGATGGGCCGCTCATTTGTGGAGAAACTTGAGTCCTGGAGACCAGGGGACTGCTGGGGCGCCCTCTGGAAACATGCTCAGTGTTCTTCTTCCCTATGTGCAAGCCCCATCCTCTCGGGCTTCAGGACGGGCACTTTTGGGGATTCGCTGGAAAACAGAAATGTCCAGAAAGTTTTTTTTTTCCCCTTCCCCTGGTTGAGGGAACTGTTTGGATTTCTTGGTGGTAGGAGGGATATTTAGGGTTTTGTGTCCCGTTCTGCTCTTAGAGTGCTAAGATGTTCCCTGTGTGTGTGTGTGTGTGTGCACGCGCGTGCATATATATATATATATATATACACATGTATGGCTTCCCAGTGGTTCAGCTATAAAGAATCCACCTGCAGTGTAGGAGATACAGGTTCAGTCCCTGAACTGGGAATATATCCTGGACAAAGGAAGTATTCTTGCTGGAAAATCGCAATCCATGGGGTTGCAAACGAGTTGGACTCGACTGAGTGACTAAACAACAATGTGTGGGTGTGTATATATATACATGTGTGTGTGTGTATATATATATATATTTCTAGTTTTAATGGAAGAAAGAACTTAATGGAAATTAAGAAATAGGGACTTAATTTTTTTGGAAGGAAAAGGACACAGAGTATGTGTGCACGCGCGCGCATATATATATATATATATATATATGTATATATACACATGTATGGCTTCCCAGTGGTTCAGCTATAAAGAATCCACCTGCATTGTAGGAGATACAGGTTCAGTCCCTGAACTGGGAATATATCCTGGACAAAGGAAGTATTCTTGCTGGAAAATCGCAATCCATGGGGTTGCAAATGAGTTGGACTCGACTGAGTGACTAAACAACAATGTGTGGGTGTGTATATATATACATATGTGTGTGTGTATATATATATATTTCTAGTTTTAATGGAAGAAAGAACTTAATGGAAATTAAGAAATAGGGACTTAATTTTTTTGGAAGGAAAAGGACACAGAGTTGCTTGTTGTGTTAAAGCAGATGTTGACAACATTAAGACACATACAGACCCCACTAAATAGAGAGGAAATGGCTAGCCTCCCCAACGGACCGTGAGAAATACAGATATAAAAACACCCCAAGATGGAGAGGAGCCCCAGATACCCAGGTATCTTCTTGTTAATCCGTTTTTATCCACTGTGTCTGGCAGCACTGGGGCACACAGTGGATGTCTGTGACTCTGTGCCAAGGTGCAGCCCTGACAGAGCTATCTTTGTTAAAGAAATGAGCGAAAAACATGCCCTCGGAGAAAGAGTTTATGATGTACATGATCACTTCAGATAGGGCTTATGAAACCAGTGTTTTATATGAGTTTTATATTTTAATCCCTCAAATTACACAAATATCTAACACTGAGAGATACTAATTACACATATGTGCCAAATGACATACTGACATTGGGACTAAATATAATTGCATCATGATTGTCTGAGAGATAATCCCAGGCTTCTTTCCCCAGGCTTTTCCTTGGAATCTTATTGTGATTCTGGTTTCCTAAGACTGACTGTCCCTTCCTAACTGGCTTGTGAGGGTTGATATGATTCCTGAGGGCTGGAAGGTCTACAAATTAGGCTCCTTTGCTCCTCAGCAGGATGAATGAAAGAGTCCTTTCTGAAGGCTGTGAATAAATTCCTCCGGTGGGGGAACCAGCATTGGCAGTTCTCACGGTAGATGGCGATCTTGAGCTGCCGCTGTGTTTTTGGACCAGTGTTGGGGCGTCTGGCTTGATCCTGGAAGGGATGTATCCTTGGCTCCCCAGGATGGTCCCTTGGAGCTTTTGTTTTTGTCTAATCTGGAATCTCAGAGACCGTGTTGTGTGAAAATAAAGAATAGATTAGTTTGCTGGGAGAAATATCAATAACCTCAGATATGCAGATGACATCACCCTATGGCAGAAAGCGAAGAAGAACTAAAGAGCTTCTTGATGAATGTGAAAGAGGAGAGTGAAGAAGTTGGCTTAAAGCTCAACATTCAGAAAACTAAGATTGTGGTATCTGGTCCATCACTTCATGGCAAATAGATGGGGAAACAGTGGAAACAGTGACAGACTTCATTTTTGGGGGCTCCAAGATCACTGCAGATGGTTAATGCAGCCGTGAAATTAAAAGACTTGCTCCTCGGACGAAAAGTTATGATCAACCTAGACAGCTTATTAAAAAGCAGAGACATTACTTTGCCAACAAAAGTCCATCTAGTCAAAGCTATGGCTTTTCTAGTAGTCATGTATGAATGTGAGAGTTGGACTGTAAAGAAAACTGAGTGCCAAAGAATTGATGCTTTTGAACTGTGGTGTTGGAGAAGACTCTTGAGTCCCTTGGACTGTGAGGAGATCCAACCAGTCCATCCTAAAGGAGATCATTCCTGGGTGTTCATTGGAAGGACTGATGCTAAAGCTGAAATTCCGGTACTTTGGCCACCTGATGTGAAGAACTGACTCATTTGAAAAGACCCTGATGCTGGGAAAGATTGAAGGCAGGAGGAGAAGGGGATGACAGAGGATGAGATGGTTGGATGGCATCACCGACTGAATGGACATGAGTTTGAGTAAACTCTGGGAGTTGGTGATGGACAGGGAGGCCTGGCGTGCTGCAGTCCATGGGGTCTGCAAAGTCAGACACGACTGAGCGACTGAACTGAACCTTCAGGACAGGACTGAACCTGTCCTCCCCTTCCTTTCTTAATGATCCTAAATTAGGCTTCTTTCATGGTGGCCCAGACCATCCTTCTCTTTGCTTTTTTTCTTAGCAGAAAGTGCAGAGTTTCCTCCCTCAGCTGGAGGGAAGCTCTTCCCTGGTGAGCACCACCTCAATCAGCTGCTTCGTCCCAAGTGGCTCCGATTTGCAGAGGTACCCTAAGAAGTCATTCTTCCTTACATGGACTTTTTACTTTCTCTCCTTAAAATTATGAAATGTGTACTTTATTTTTTATTTTAATACTTAAATATTGTATGATTTTATTTAAATTTTTATTTTAGATTGGAGTGTAATTGATTTTGGGCTTCCCAGGTGGCGCAGTGGTAAAGAATCTGCCTGCCAGTGTAGGAAATGCAGATTCAATCCCTGGGTCAGGAAGATTCCCCGTAGAAGGAAATGGTTATCCACTCCAGTATTCCTGCCTAGAGAAGCCCATGGACATAGCTTGGAGGGCTGCAGACCATGGGGTCGTAAAAGAGTGGGACAAAGCTGACCACACACACACATAGTTGATTTACAGTGTTGTGTTTCAGGTGTATAGTAAGGTGATTCAGTTATATGAATATCTTTTCTTTTTCAGATTCTTTTCCAGTATAGGTTATTACAGAATGTTGAGTAGAGCTCCTTGTATTTGTTACATAATTTATATGTGTGCATGCTCAGTTGCATCTGACTCTTTGAGACCCCATGTACTGTAGCCCACCAGGCTCCTCTGACCGTGGAATTTTCCAGGCAGGAGTACTGGATTGGGTTACCATTTCCTACTCTATGGAATTTTCCATACCGAGGGTTCAAACCCTATCTCTTGTGTCTCCTGCATTGGCAGGCAGATTCTTTACCACTGAGTCACCTGGGAAGCCCATTTTATATATAGTTGTGTATATATGTTAATCCCAACCTCCTAATTTATCCCTCCCCCAGCCTACCTTTCTCCTTTGATAAAACCATAAATTTGTTCTCTAAGTCTGTGAGTCTGTTGAAATGCATACTTTCAAACATTATGCCTTTTTGAGCACTCACCTTTTTAAAGGTAGTATTTCATCTTGAAGGTTATACTACACATACATGCTTTTGAACTATCTTGAATTTTGTGCTTTCCCCTCCAAATATCTTCTTGAGAGCTTTCTTCTTCTGAAGTAAGAGAAATATTCCTGGATTTCTCGTAAATAGGGTTACCATTGTAAATCAGGATTCAGCAAACTATGACCCTCAGGCCAAATCCAGCCTACTACTGGCTTTTGTAAAGAAAGTTTTATTGGAACACAGCCACACCCATCATTTTTGTGTTATCTATGACTGCTTTTGCTAAGGTGGCAGAGTTGAGTAGTTATATGACTCACAAAGCCTAGAATATTTACTCTCTGGCCCTTTATGGAAGTTTGTCAACCCCAATATAATTTATTTTCCAAGTCACACCCTTGTGAGGGTGACAGTAGATGGTATTAATTATCCTAGGATAACAAGCATGAACCGAGATTGTCCTGGACCAACCATAGTACATGATCACTCTCTTATAATATGAAGCATTGCAGAGAGGCACCAGAATACATCATAAAAGTAACATACCCTTTTTTTTTTTTTTTTTAACTAAAGGTAAAAAAGTTCTCATATATTTCTGGGGAGTGATAGGTGAACATGTATTTGTGCCAAGGAAACAAACTGAACATCAAAGTCATCAAACTTGGATTCAAGAGAATGAAATTCAAATTCCAACTCCTGGGTATCCTAGGTAGATCTCATCTTCTGTTGATCATAGTACCATCTGTTAAGTTCCATCTACATGTGAAACACTGTGCTGGATGTTGGGACACAGGAAAATGAATAAAACCTCCTCTTGGCCTGCAGGTTGCTGAGAGTCTAGTCTGTGAATTTGGGGGTTGGGGGCAGCAGGAAGACCAGAGAGCAGGAAGCTCTCACATCATCGCTCTACGGCTCTTTGCCTTCATGGCAGGATTCATGGGACCAATGAGACTCCAAGGGAACCTAACTTCACATCTTTGCAACAGGTCTCTCTTGCTATAAAAGTTATACCTTCTTTAAAGTGACACCCACTGATGCTGAGATTGGCAGTGGCTGTAGCTTTTGGGAACCCTCCTCAAATGTAGATAGGGTTTTTCCCCCATTTGAATCTCAGTTTGCACTGTAGCTAAGCTGTAGCCAAGCTGTAGCCAAGCCACAGTGCTCGCTTCCATGCGGTGCAGTTATTGAAAACCACCACCAGGAACATGGCTTCTGGTTTTAGAGAGACCCTTTTAGTTACCCGTAGGACATTTCTACAGATATGCTTTTCTTTTTCGCCATGGGGTGTTGGGTTGGTGGCCCTCTACTCACCACATTCTTCCCGATCTGCTCCTCAAGAAAACCAAAAGCAGGAGAAGGTATGAGTGTGGGCCATTTTCGTACCTTGTAAGGAGAAGAACACAGAGTCTTTCCAATGTTGTGTCACAAGCCGGAGACCTTTGGAGCCCCAAATCCTTCCTCGATGATGAAGCCACTTAGTGGAACTTTACTGGGATATTGTAATTTTGGAGAAGCAGTCTTTGAGGACCCAGTGTCTATTATACCTGGGAGTGAGATATAGTTGTAACATGGTGGTGACTTTGAATTCTTTGGGGTGGTATAGGACTGTTCTGTTATTAATAGACTGCTTTAGTGGGGGGTTTCTGTATCTATGGAATGTCAACTAGGTATTTTAGTATGTAAACTCTGACACATCATTTTTGATTGTTAGGGGCTCTCAGGAAAAACATGAACTTCCAGGTACTGAGATACCTTTCAGGGAGTTGATTGAGTTTTGCCTGACAAATGGTTGTTGAGTATTTTTACTTTTTTTCTGATTTCAAACTTTTTGCCCCGATGAAAGGTAACGCACATTCCTCGGCTGTGATTTGAAATATTTTTATGGTAAACCCATTCCTCAATGGCAGTGAAAATGGTTACAAATTCTGTCTTGGTCCTAGAATTTTGTTCTCCACAGAAGCTCGTGTTGGATTCATCTTTTTTTTTTTTTTTTAAATATAATTGCTCTACAATGTTGGGTTCGTCTCTGCTGTTCAGTGGAGTGAATCAGCAATATGTATACATATGTCCCCTCCCTCTTGGATCTCGCTCCCACCCATCCCACCCCTCTTGGTCGTCGCAGAGCACCAAGCTGAGCTCCTGCGCTCTATAGCAGCTTCCCACTAGCTATCTGTATCACACACGAGAGTGTGTAAATGTCAGTGGTGCTTTCTCAGTTCATCCCACCTTCCCCTCCCCTACATGTCCACATGTCTGTTCTTTATCTCTATCCCTGCCCTGCAAATGGGTTCATCTGTACCATTTTCTAGATTCCATCTATATGCATTAGTATGCAATATTTGTTTTTCTCTGACTTACTTCCCTCTGTATGACAGACTCTAGGGCCACCCACATCTCTACAAATGACCAGTTTCGTTCCTTTTTATGGCTGAGTTGATGTGATTCTCCACTTTGCTGTTTCTCCCACTATGTAGTCTGATCCCGACCTCCCGGCTGACGTGCCCACGCCGTCGTCGGCTGAGCTGGGCAGGTATCCAGGCCTGCCCTTCCCGGCCTCCCAGTACATCCCACCCCAGCCGTCCATCGAGGAGGCACGCCAGACCATGCACTCCCTCCTGGATGATGCTTTTGCCCTGGTGGCCCCCAGCAGCCAGCCCCCCAACGCTGCGGCTGCAGGCCCTGGGGTCCCAGCCGGCCTGCCCGTGAACAGCACCCCTTCCCGGGAAGAGAGACGAGCCACCCAGTGGGGGTCCTTCTACAGCCCGGCTCAGACGGCCAACAACCCGTGCAGTGTAAGTGTGGACCTTCTGGAACTCTCTCATGGGCAAGATGTTGGAGCTTTGTTGCCTGACTGCCTCATTTTCAGGATCCCTGCAATACCCTGATTGGATTCGACTGGAATTAAAGCTTGGATGATGAGTCTTAGTTTTTATTATCTTTTAAGTTAATTCTCAGTGTTGAAAACATTGTTTTATGCAACTTGGACATTTCATGGAGATACCTTCCTGAATTTGCCTCCATGAAAGGTATAAAATTCATTGTCATAAAATATATGTGGAGTAACTGTCAAAATACATTCTTGTTGTTTTTTTGTTTGTTTAGTTGTTCAGTCTTGTCTGACTCTTTTGTGACCCCATGGGCTGTAGCCCACCAGGCTCCTCTATCCCTTGGATTTTCCAGGCAAGAATACTGGAGTGGGTTGCTGTTTTCTACTCCAGGGGATCTTCCCAATCATATGTTAAAAGAATTTTCAGCTCTGGGGACTTCCCTGGTGGTCCAGTAGGTTAGACTCTGTCCTCTCAATTCAGGGGACCCAGGTTTGATCCCCACTCAGGGGACTAGATCCCACATGCTGCAACTAAGACCCAGCACAGACAAATACATTAAAAAAAATTTTTTTAAAGAAGAATTTTTATCTCTGGAATTTTCAAAGTAAGCTCTTAGATAGTTTCTTTCAAGGCATAGTGAGCACATGCCTGAGTGATCACAACCACCACACAGGAGAAAAATACTATCCAACCTAGTCATTGTTGGTTTACATATTAAAATATAGATTGTTTCAGCAATAAAGGTTAAACCATTTCATAATTATAGGTGATAGGTAATTATAAACTAGTAGTTTATAATCTTTAAGGAAATGGATGATACAGAGCAAAACTCAGCAATGAAAATGAGTTTGACCATATCTGCTGTCTGTTTACTTTAAGCTTGTCTCACCTGTTTATTCATTCAGATGTATTTATGGAGCACCCACTGGTTTTGTTTGTTGAGTGTTCTGCGAGGTGTTGGGGTTACAGAAGTGCACAACATACAGCTCCAGCTCCTGCATCCCAGTGGGGATATGTGGCCAGTGGAAAAAGTGACTCAGTGCGGCATAGGGCAGGTGTCAGGCAGGAGGAGAGTATGTGGGGGAGCCCTTGACCCATAATGTTTGGGAAGGATTTTCTGGACAGAATGACATCTAAGTGGAATTAGTGGGGGCAATTAGTGGTTTCAGTTAAAGAAGAGAGGTAGTGGGGAAGCTAGCAGAGACCCAGAAACAAAAGCATCTGAAACAAACTCCCTCTTCTGGACAAAAGAGAGGAAAGGCTCAGGATTTATCCTCCCTCCAGAAACAAGTAAAAATAACTGAACAAAATGTATGGGTTTTCACCACATTGGAGTTGAGGCAACAAAGAAGAGGGATCACTGAGAGATGCGTAGAACCCTTCCGTCACCCCAGCTCCTGTCTTGAGAGAGTTTCTAGCTATGGTGCGGGGAGGAAGACTCCAGGGAGCGCTCCATGGTCTCCCCGAGGTGAGAGAACGGAGTGGAGAGTGTGGGGAAGAGAAGGGAGCTAGGGTTCACAACAGACAGTGCAGGAAAGCAGAGAGAAACACAGAGAGATGCTTCCAGAGATTGCAGGGAACCTCATTTGAGTTTTGATCAGTTTTAAGGTGTGAGGAAACTACCCCAGACGAGGGAAAGAACTGCCCCAAGAGATTAAAGGGAACCATCCTCAAAGCTCACAGAAATGTGAAATTTCCTCATGGGGAAATGTTCCTGCTGTGGATTGAATTGTATTCTCCCAAAATTTGTATGTTGAAGCACAAGCCCCCATGTACATGTATTGGAGACTGAGTCTTGAAGGGGGAAGTAAAGGTTAAATGAGGTCATATGGTTGCATCCCTGATCTGATAGAACCGGTACTCTTAGGAGAAGAGGAAGAGACACTGGGTCTCGCTCTCCACCGTGTGAGGACACAGCAAGTAGGCAGCTGTCCACAAGCCAGGAGGAAAACTAGCAACAGCTGAACCCTGCTGGAAACTTGACTGTGGATTTTCCACCTCCAGAACTGTGAAAAAATTAATTTCTGTTTTTTAACCCACCCAATTGGTGGTGTTTTGGGATGGCAGCCTGAGATGACTATAGTTTTTGTGTGTGTGTGCAGTGTAGAAGACCTCATAGTTCACGGAGCATCAGTTAGAGTACTCAGAAGAGTTTTGCCTCAGTAGTGGGGCAAATAGCCCCAAGGTAAAGCTGCTCTCATTCCACCTAACACAGAAAAAGTCAGACCTGAAGCTGAACAAAGTCAGGAATATTTATGTAGAAAACCAAAAATATACAACATCCAACAAGGTAAACTGAATAATGTCTGGCATCCAATCAAAACTAACCAGACAAGCAGAGAAGCAAGAAAATGGTACAGATTATAGCATTAGTAGACAAAGATATTAAAAGAATTATTATAGTGGAGTTTTGTATGTTTAGGAACCGAGAGGAAAGATTGAACACATTAATTAGAAGCACTGAAAAATTTAAAGGATACAGATCAAATTCAACCTTTTAAAAATATTTGTTTATTGGTATTTATTTGACTGCTCTGGGTCTTATTAAATACTTGTGGCGTGCAGGATCTGGTATCTTTGATTTTCATTGAGGCATGTGGGATATTTAGTTGTGGCAAGACCCTGAATTGCAGCGTGTGGGATCTAGTTCCCTGACCAAGGGCTGAACCCAGACTCCCTACACTGGTTTCTGTTCTCACAGTAGAGAAAGCAGAGTCATCTCTTCAGAATGAGAGAAGTGTAGCAAGGCAGGAGGGTTGAGGGAGAGTAGAAACATGAAATACGGAGGAGAATGAGAGAAAACAAACTAGGGACATGGAAGTAATCACTTAGCCTTGAGGCCACTGTCGAGACTGATGATCATGAAATTATAGTGGCACAAATTAAAGTTTTGTAGTTTACCAGCATTCAGATACCCAGGTGTAAACAAGGAGGGAATGGGCAATTGGATTGATCCAGGACTGGGGCTTTATCAGGCATGTGTGATGATAAGACAGCTGGGAAGAGATGTACAGGTCAGACGGTACAGTTGAAGTGATGGTAGATTAGCACTGAAAGGGGAAGTGGAGGAAGTTGAGGTTGATTAAATGTGCTAGAGCATTGGAGACTCTTCCTCTCAAATCTGTCCACTGTATTACACTGGTGGAGTCGTCATCATCTCTCACCAAGATTATTGAAAGACTTCCTGTTCATCTCCTTGCCTCTGGTTTTGAAAGGAGGATGTCAGGGTGGTGGCTGACAAGTACAGTGCTGTTTATTGGTGTTGAGGAGCTGAGAGGCTAACACAGTAGATGCATCTATGAGGGACAGGAGGACTTGAGTGAAGAGGGAGACCTTCCAGGAGCCTCTTGGGCTAGTCTCATGTTTTCCAAAAGGAGAATTCTCATCTCACTTCCCAACCTATACTTGGTGGCTGCTGGCATCTACGTGTTGCTTCTTTCTGCTCCTTGAGTTGTTCAGTGCAGAAATCTGTGGTCTTCTTAATTGCTCCCTACCTGATAGAAGATGTATTTATGCTTCCCTGTCCTCTGGGAAGCATAAATAGTTCTTGGCATTCAACCAGTTTTTCCGAATCATTTCCCCCCCTGAAAACCAGTGTCCATTTAATCTTCATATTCATTTCTTTCATTCATGTCAGGGAAACTTCCTTTCATTTCTGAAGCAGTTTTCTTTGTTGGATTGAAGATACCAATTATTTTTATGTTGGCTCATCTTTGTCCCTTTTCTGTATCTGTCAGTTTATCTGCAGCTTTAGCTACTTTGTTCTTTTTTCTCTGCCTTCAATTATGATTGAAGGCATTGATTTGATTATAAGTTATATCTATTGTTTTCCCTGCTAGTTGATTATCCTTAGTGTTTTGATGGGAGTGGTAGCAATTTAATCTAATGGAAAACCAGATCATTGGTTATATTTGGGCATATCTAATATAACTTAAACATGCTTATAAATTGGTTGTAAAGTTACTGTTTATTGCCAGGAGGAACCGGATCACCTTTTATCTGCTTCTTTTGGCTATAGTAAAAACCACTGAAATGTGGATTTCAGGATGCCTTCAGTTACCCCATGAATATAGACCATCTGATGACACTTTTATACCTTTCTTGCCAGTGTAAAAGTGTTAGTTATGCATTGGTGAGTCAGGCCACTTGACAGGTGGTATTTCTGCTTTCCGAAGTAAAGTTAACCTCCTTGAATTTGTCCTCCAAATGGCAGGTGTGAATACCTGAGATTTTACTAGCTCCTTGCCATCTGGTTGCTTTACCTCAGGCCTCTCCCAGGCTCCACCCATCACTTGTCTTTCTTGCTTTGTTGGCTTGTTTTATACTGAACAGAAAGAAAGAATGCATTAAAATGGGATTTTTATTCACCTAGATGATTGCAACCTTAAAATTCTCTTTGTCCTCCAGACTTTTTTTTTTAACAAGTGTGACACACGTAAGGGAAATGCCTGCCGTCATTGGGGGTATGTAGCCTCTAGAAAAATAATACCCTTTTTCTAACTAAAGTAGAGTAGAAATGCCTAGCACTATGGTAATAGATCAGGTAAAGAGTGGTCAACTATTTTGCATTGTTTTTCTTTTTAGTTTTTCATTTATTAGACCTTGTGAAATCCCAACAGATAAATTGTAAAGTCTTGACCTTTTTTATTAATATTATTTTGCATATGAATAGGTTTTTTAAAAAAGCCAAACTGTGCTGAAAGCACAGGGGCCATTTTATTCTGTAAAGAATAATCTTGATCCAGTCTCAGATTTCTGTTTAATTATTTGGAAAAATAAATAGACTCTCCTTTTCATCCTGTTCCTCTCTTCTTCCATGATCCCCTTTTTTTAATTTTACCTCAGTTATGGAAGTCTGAGGGGTTCTAAATCTCTCTCCCTTTGCCAAGGGAAGGGAAGCAGTGAGGGTCAGAGGTAAAGTAATTTGAGTACATTTTCAAGTCTAGTAGTCCCTTTGGGACTGTATGAGGTGCAGAGATTGTTTTGTCCTTCTTGGCCTAAGGTAATAGACCAAGGGAAATAGAATGAATTGGTCAGTATGTCTGAGGCCAAAGCTGCTACTCCTTATCTGACCCCCCCACCCACCAGGCCCCCCCGCCTCCTACCAGTAGAGATTTATTTAAGAGGGAAAGTCTGGTTTTAGAAATCATGGGTGGTGCAGCCCAGTGATTAAAAGCATAGTCTTTGGAGTCAGAAAGATAGATTAGGAGGACATTGTTTAATTTCTTTGTGTTTTGGTTTCTTCTGTAAACAGCAGGTAATGAACCCTTTTTAGCATTGCTGTGGACCTGAGTCAGTGTTCATACGGTGCATAGCAAAATAATAATTCAGTAAATGGCAGCTTAAGAAAAAAAAGATCTCATATGAGAGCAAGTCCAGAAGCAAGGCTGATTTAGTAACTTAATATGGAACTCCTATCCTGGAGCCAGTTAATTTAAACTGAGTGGAGTTGGGTGGATGCTGTCCAGAGTTACTATCCTATTAAAATATCTGACTCCAAAATCATGATTCATAGTTGTCGAAAAAAAGTGTTAAAAGTCCTAGTCCCAACTATGCTAGGGTTAGGATATATTGATTTCATGAGGAATGCAGTATAGATCTAGATTTCTTTAAATCTGGTGCCATCTTGCTTTAGTCAAAGAGTATTTGGTTAGTGCAGATTAGTTCAAATAAGAAGAGTGGATTAAAGGATACCTGGACATCTTATGGAATTTAAGGGCAGGGAGTATGGCTGGACCTCCTTGGTATTAGTCAGAATGGATTGTGTTTACTTCATCTTTTAGGGTCTCTCTCAAATTACTGTTCTTCTTAAAGTCTTTCTCTTTTTATAGCATTGTACAACATGGAACAACATTTGCATTGTTTAGTTTCTTGAGTGTATTTGAATTGCTGATAGGCACCCACTAGATCTGGTGACCACTGTGGTCCATGTTGATGGAGTCATTTACAGTAAGTATGGCCACGAAGGCCCATCTTATTAGCAGAAGATACAGGTTTGTGGAGGATAAGCTGCAGGGAAGGGCAGGTGCAGGAACCCTGTCTCTTGTTAATATTTTTACAAAAGAAAGAAAGGTCTGGAAGCTAGTTGTGTATTAGCCCAGTTCCCCAAACTGCAGCTTCTAGCATTACATGGTGGCGGAATGCCGTGAAAGCATGCTAACTTTTTATGAGAAAATAAATCTCTTGGAAGTTGATCCTGCAAATCTAAATTTGTAAGTTTGCTGTTGTCACTTCATAATAAGGACTGAATGTTAATCTTCATTTGAATTTCTTCCAGAGATATGAAGACTATGGAATGACTCCCCCATCAGGCCCATTACCAAGGTAAGGTTTTTAGGAGAAAATGTATCAGGACTTTTTCACCCAGGCTGTTTCTTAAATTTTGCAGCTTTGTTTCTTTTAGCTAATATGAACAGATACAAAACTCTGAGTTGTGTTTTTATCTTGATGTAACCAGAAGAGGAGGAAGAAAGTTAGAATTTAAGTCCTGCTTCCAGTAATGACAGACTAGATAATTTGCTCATGATAACTGAAAAAGCTGGACAAGATTTAAGAACAAAAACAAAACACCCGGTAGCCATCAGGGCAGTGAAACAGAATGGAGCCAGGATCCAGCAAATCCAGAGAAGTGAGCCCTGCTTTGGGGTCCACTTTCTCCCACGGATACTGCTGATTCCAGACAAGGCGGCTGAGAAGCTGAGCAAAACTTTTGACAAGATTCATGAGATTTGAAGTCTTGAAAATGCACTGTATCAAAAGTTTTGGGGGGACTTTCCTGGTTGTCCAGTGGTTAAGGCTTTGCCTTCCAATGCAGGGGGTGCAGACTCATTCCCTGGTAAGGGAGCAAAGATCCCCTGTGCCTCATGGCCAAAAAACCAGGTCATAAACAACAGAAGCAATAGTGCAGCAAGTGCAGTAAAAGACTTTTTAAATGGTCCGCATGAAAAAAAGTCTTAAAACCTAGGGAAGTAGAAGGAAGGAAATAATAAAAATAAGAATAGAAATTAATGAAGTAGAAAACAATTGCCATACTAGAGAAGATCAGCAAAGCTGAAAGTTAGTTCTTTGAAAAACTTCTAGAAAGGAAAACATGAATAGTCCTATAACTATTAAAGAGATTAAAATCATTATTAAAATTCTTTCCACAAAGAAAACTTCAGGGCCTGGTGGCTTCAACAGTAAATTATACCAAACACTGAAGGAAGAAAAGATACTAGTATCATACAAACTTTTAAAGAACAGAAAACAGGAAAATACTCCTTAACTCATTTTATGAGACCAGCATAACCTTGATAACCAAAAACAGAAAGGACAAGGACGTTGTAAGACAGGAAACATTAAGGGCCAGTTTCATTTGTGAACATAGATGCCAAAAATTTGAAACTGTGTTTTAGCAAGTACATCCAGCAATATAATACAATAGGCTATCATATCATAATCAAATTGGATTTTTTTCCATCAGTACAAGAGTAATGTAATATTTTAAAAAATCATTGTAATTCACCACTTTGAAGTGAATAGAGGAGGAAAATCTTCTCATTTCCATAGATACAGCATTTGATAAAGTTCAACATCCGTTCATGGCAAAAATCTTTGTAAACACAGGATAGAAGCAGATAGGAATCTGATAAAAAAGTATCTTGGCAAATACTGGTTAATGATGAAATGTTAAAAACTTTCCCTTTGAAAACAAAAGCGAGGCAAAATTGCCTGCTTGCATTACTTCTATTCAGCATTGCCCTGGCCATCCTAGCTAGTATAATAACACAAGAAAAAGTAACAGAACGATTAAGGAATTCAAATAGAGAAATAATACTGTTATTATTCACAGATGATATACTTTTGTAGTAGAAAAATCCTAAAATGTCAATACATGAATTGTTAGGATTAAGGAACTTTAGCAAGATGGCTAAAGAGCAAGATCATAATAATTAAATTACAAAGTAGTTGGATACCAAGATGAACAAGATCAGCATACAACATTATAAGACCAGTATACAAAAATCTGTTCTGTTCATGAGCAATGACAGAAAAAAAAAAAAAAAAGGTACTATGTAAAATAGCATTAAAAAATATGAAATACTTCAGGATAAATCTAACTGAAGATATTCAAGCCTTCTAAAGAAAGATATTCATGAATTGTGCAACTCTTTTAAAATGTCAAATCTCCCCAAATGATCTACAGATTCATTGCAGTCCCATTCAAAATCCCAATAGTTTATTGCATTTTTAATTTATTTTTAAAAAATTAATTCATTTATTATAATTGGAGGCTAATTACTTTACAGTATTGTGGTGGTTCTGGCCATACACTGACATGAATCAGCCACGGATGTACATGTGTTCCCCTGTCCCAAACCCCCCTCCTACCCCTCTCCCCATCCCATCCCTCTGGGCTGTCCCAGTGCACTGGTTTTGAGTGCCCTGTTTGATGCATTGAACTTGGGCTGGTCATCTGTTTCACATATGGTAATATACATGTTTCAGTGCTGTTCTCTCAAATCATCCCACCCTCGCCTTCCCCCACAGAGTCCAAAAGTCTGTTCTTTATATCTGTGTCTCTTTTGCTGTCTCTGTTGCATTTTTTAATATGTGGAAGTTGATGAACTCACTCTAAAATACATGTGGATTTGCAAGGGGCCAAGAGTAGCCAAGACACTTTGAGAAAGAAGAATAAGATGTTAGGACTATATTCTAAATGTTGCAAATTACTGTCAAGGAATGAGGAGTGTGGTGTTGCTATAAAGCAAGACAAGTAGACCAGTAGAACAGAAAAGAGCATTCATAATCAGACCCACATGTGAATAGACAATTGATTTACTACAATGAAGGAATTGTAATAAAGAATTAGTCTCAGAGATCACATTCAACTATCCCTTGAATGATTCAGCTATCCCTTTAGTCACACAGAAGTATGAATGTTATCTGCTTTCTCCTTACTTTCTCTTTATTTGCCCTCATTTTCAGAAGATTTTGTTTTATTTTTCCCCAACCCTTCTCCCCCTCTCCAGGCACTGCTTTGTGGTCCAAAAGCAACAAAGTTAAGGGAACAGGTGGCGATTAGATGATCCAGGGCAAAAGCTAATGCTAGGGGGACCACATGATCTGGTTTCGCCTGGTTCAATCCTAATTTACACCTGTGGTTCAGCATAATTGTAAATTCCACTCTCAAAAGTGTTCTGGTTTGGATGCTAAATTTTACGGTCACCCAAGGTAAATTAGAATGTTTGGATCAGACAGAACTCTCTGAATATACAGTTTAGGATGAAAGCAGTGTAGATATAGGCAGGAGGGTGCTAGTTGACTGGATAAAGCAGAAATCATTAATAAAATGCAAGCTCTTGTTCCTAGGTGAATGGTCCAGAAATTATAATTAACTTAGGTGAGCTCTAGTTTACAGGGCTGGATGGAGGAGTGTGCATTGGTTAAGCTCTTAGATCTGTAAGGTCAGGGATGTCAGACACCTCTTTCTGAGGTCAGTCGGAAACAGCAGCAGTTCTTTAAAGAGAGTAATACAGGTTGCCTGGGTTTTAGTTTATGGACTGTACTCCAGAAATGACAGTGTAGAATCAGAGCAAGTTGGTGTACTTTCTCATCAAACTGGTTTAATCTATTAGTCAGTTCAGTTGCTCAGTCATGTCTGACTCTTTGCGACCCCATGGACTGTAGCATGCTAGGCTTCCCTGTCCATCACCAACTCCTGGAGCTTGCTCAAACTCATGTGCATCAAGTTGGTGATGCCATCCAACCATCTCATCCTCTGTCATCCCCTTCTCCTCCTGCCTTCAGTCTTTCCCAGCATCAGGGTCTTTTCCAATGAGTCACTTCTTCATATCAGGTGGCCAAAGTATTAGAGCCTCAGCTTCAGCATCAGTCTTATATTCAGAACTGATTTCCTTTAGGATTGACTGGTTTGATCTCCATGCAGTCCAAGTTTTAATCTATTAATTACTGGTTAACTGGCATTTGCAAGGAATTATAACTGAACCATCATTCTTTTTTTTACTTTTGAGTATCTTTAAAAGAGTGAGGGTGAGATTCTCAGGGTGAGATTCTCAGATCCCTAGAGGGTCCTTGAGGCCCATTCAGGGAGGTCTGTGAGGTCAAAGCTATTTTTATAATAATATAAAGATATCATCTGACTTTTCTCATTGCGTTGACCTTTGCACTGAGGTATGAAAGCAGTGGTGGGTGAAGCTGTGGTGCCTTGGCTTGAATCCAGATAGTGACACCTCGTTGTTCAAGGATTCATTCCTGTCTTCTTCACTGCTGGGCAATCACAGATTTTTTATTTTTGCTTTTTACAGCATTTTTTAAAATGCCAGTTTTATGTTAGTATATCATTGAGGTAGTAAAAATAAATTTTGAAGATGTATTTATTTTTGGCTGTGGTGAGTCTTAACTGCTGTGCAGCCTTTCTCTAGTCATGGAGAGCAGGGGCTACTCTTCGCTGTGGTGTGGAGGCCTCTCGTGCCAGTAGCTTCTCTTGTTGTGGAGATCGGGCTCTAGAGTATGCGAGCTTCAGTAGCTGTGGTTGTGGGCTCTAGACGCAAGGGCTCAGGAATTGTGGTGCATGGGCTTGGTTGCTCCATGGCATGTGAGATCTTCCCAGACCAGGGATCAAACCTGTGTCCCCTGCATGGGCAGGCGGATTCTTAACCACTGGACCGCCAGGGAAGCCCCAAAATTAACTTTATTAAACCTAGACCTTAGAGTCTCTTAACAGTCTGGATGACAGGAGAGGAGACACATATAAACCACTTCTGCTGATTTTGGCCTTAGAGTTGAGAACTGATCTGACTGTTGCTATGTTTTTGCTTGAACAACCAGCCTGTGGACTTTTGTTAGGCTTTGAAAATGAGCAGTGGGCAAGAAAACAACTGACAGCAGTTATTGCCAATGATCAAATTGAGCTTTCAATTGGAAATTAAAATTTTACAAACTTGTCTGCTGCGGTGAAATGGACAGTTTCCTAGTACCTAAAGCCTTTTCTGAGAGCTTGATGGTGATATTAATGAATGTGACTTTGGGTTACTGTAAGATAAAATGTGTCAATATCAAGAAAGTCTGCATAATTCAGTGAACCAGTATTTTCCAAATGAGCAATGTCATACAATCATGCATGAGTCTATTCTAAGTGCAAGGAAGACCAGTAGTTTTAACATAACAGAAGATGAAAAGTTAATTGATAGTTTCAGAGTCAATATTGCCACTAACCTTCATAGGACATATTGTAGAGTTTTGGTATGGTTTCAGAGAAGAATGTTTAATGGAAATACTATTTGAATATTATTTGGAAAGGCTATTAAAATCTTCCTTCTTTTTCCAACTACGTATTTATGCTTTTCTTCATAAAATAACTGATGGAAACTGAATACAAAGTGTATGAGAATCCAGATGTCTGCTATTAAGGAAAATGTTTTAAAAATGTAGAACACTTGTCATTAAATTGGGGGGAGGGGGGCATGCAGGAAAATATGGGCTTCCCTGGTGGCTCAGATGGTAAAGAATCCACCTGCAATGCAAGAGCCCCAGGTTTGATCCCTGTGTCGGGAAGATTCCATGGAGAAGGGAATGGCTACACACTCTAGTATTAGTTAATTCTGTGCAAATGTTATTTTTAAATGAATTTTTCATTTGCTCTGTTTTAATTTTGAACATGATACTTAGCTATAGATATGCTCCACATACACAAGAACTCTTGAAAGTGTTACTCAGTTGTGTCTGACTCCTTGTGACCCTGTGGACTGTAGCCTGCCAAGCTCCTCTGTCCATGGGGTTCTCCAGGCAAGAATACTGGAGTGGGTTGCCATGTCCTCCTCTAGGGGATCTTCTGGAGCCAGGGACTGAACCCCAGTCTCCTGCATTGCAGGCGGATTCTTTATCATCTGAGCCACCAGGGACGCCAAATAAACAAAAGCTCTTGTGAGTCCTTCCCTTGTAGCTCAGTTGGTAAAGAATCTGCCTGCAATGCAGGAGACCCCGGCTCAATTACTGGGTCGGGATGATCCCCTGGAGAAGGGATAGGCTACCCACTCCAGTATTCTTGGGCTTCCCTTGTGGCTCAGCTGATAAAGAATCCGCCTGCAATTTGGGAGACCAGGGTTTGATCCCTGGGTTGGGAAGATCCCCTGGAGAAGGGAAAGGCTACCCACTCCAGTATTCTGACCTGGAGAATTCCATGGAATAGTCCATGAGGTTGCAAAGAGTCGGACACCACTGAGCGACTTTCATTTTCCCTTGTGAGTCCTTATTTTCATGAATGCAACTGTGTCCTGAGACTAAATAGTTTGAGAACCACTGCTTTAAAGCACTAGTTTTCAGCCTTGATGAAACTCAGGAACATCAGTGAAGCTTTAAAAACTACCATGGTGTGGGTCCCATGTCTAAAGATTCTATTTTTGGGGGGTCTGGGGTGTGGTGTGGGTTCCCCAGGTAACCTTAATGTACAGCCAGGGTTGAGATCCACTCCTTTAGTTGACTGCTGGAGATGAACGGGCCCTGGAGCTTGAGATGCACCCTTTTTGGGTCTTTAAACTAGAGCATTTTTTCTCCAGTCATCCGGCAGATTGGTCAGGCATCAGCTGTGTCCCAGCATGTGTACTGGATGGTGTATATATAGTTTGTAGCACAGGAGATTTGTCAGGGAGAGGAGATGGCTAATAAGCCAGCAGACACACAGGTCTTACATTGCCTCAGGGCTGAGGGTGGACCTAGTAAAATACCAGAACCAGGCAAGTGTGGTCCTAATGTTTGGGTGTGCTTCGCCTTCAGACCCGGTTTCGGACCCGGTTTGCTGCAGTCTTCAGAGCTGGTGCCTCCCGAGCCGCCACAGCCCCAAGCATCTTCCGAAGCCCCCTCATTTGCTGCCCGAGGGATCTACTCTGAGGAGGGGCCGTCAGTGGCCCGGCCTCGGCCTGTTGGGGGCACCACAGGTACATTTCTTTTTGGCTAAATTCTGCAGAGAGCATTTTAGACTGCAGGGTGTCAGCATCCCAGCCCTGGCCTCTTCTGGTGGTCAGCTGTGTTCCCTCGGATCCTGTTGGAGATGCATGGCCGGGAGGTGGGAAAGGACGGAGTGGCTGAGATCCCAAGACCCGGGGCCTCCGATTTGTTCCTGAGTCAGAGTCTCGAAAACAGTCCCTTTATGTGAAATTCCCAGCGCATGTCTTCCAGGGAAAACGTTTCTGAAAACTTACAGTAAACAGAAACACCTATTTCTGAGTGCTTACGATGGCATGAAAACAAGCATTTATTTTAGAGAAGGCAGTTTCTAAAGTTGATCCACAGTGACTACAAGGAGATTTGTGTTTTATTTGGTGACTTCTGGGAGGGTACAACCACGGTTCTCGTGGAGCCTTACCTCCCTCATTTTTCCCCGTCTACCTTTATCTTCTCCTTTCTAAAATGTCCTTGTCATTTCCCCATGCCTCTATGCCTGTCCCTTCTCTGCAGTCACTCATGGGCGGAGTCAGCAGTGGAAGGTCAGGGGAAGCTGGTGACAAAATGGAACTGCTCTAGGTTTTTTCTACCTACTCTTTCAGATCATCATTAAAAGAACAGTCTTAGAAGATAACAGATATAAAGTGCTTAAAATAGTGCCTGGCGTATCACAAATTGTAATAATATTAGCTGCCATTATTATTATTACTGTTCTTATATTTATTTCTGGTGATGGTGTAAATCATTAAATTTTTGGAAAGCAGCTTGGCAGTATAACTTTATGAGCCTTTGATTTGGTAATTTGGGAATGTGGGCTCCTCCCTGTCCCCCGAAGAGATCCAAAATATTGGAGAAGAACTACATGTGCAAGGATGTTTATTGAAGCATTATTTAGAATAGCAAACAACTGTGAGCTCCCTCAATACCGAGTTTAAGGGCATCAGTGAGTAAACTTGTACAGCCTTTGAAAATGAAGAGCTCAGAGCCAGAAAAAGGGAATTTAAGATTTCCTGATTGCCTCTTATGCATTTGGTACTTGACCTATTTTCTCTCTTTTAATCCTTGAAATAGCACTGTGAGATAGTTTTTTTCTTTTTTTTAATCTCCATTTGAAAAGTGAGGCATTGAGTCTCAGCTGGAGTGATTACTGGGGTGTCCGAGGTCACAGGCTTGTCAGTGGTTGAGCTGGAATGCAAACCCCTGCCTGCTGGGGGGGTGATGGGCCACTTGAATCATGAGGGAGCCTGTGCTGTCTCGTTAAGTGAACAAAGCAAAATACAGAATCATGTCTCAACTACGATTTCAACTGCTGTTGCAAGTCCAACACAAAGGTATGCCTTTCTCCCTGTGCGGTTGTCTGAACCGTCACAAGTGATGACGAACACTGCTGCATTTCTGTCTTTGCAAGGTTTGCTCAAACAATGTCTGTTGGGCAATGTCCATTGTCTGATAGTTCCAGTAATTTTAATAGTGTTAGGAATCTTCAGTAACAAGTGCTTCAGGACAAGTGCTCCTGTAGAGGACATTTAATAAAAAGTATTTGATTAACAGAGGCTGTTAATTAGGTAACTAGAGTAGGAACAGCCTTGAAGATGGAGAGGTCTTACCTCTGGAAAACCCTGAACCTTTGTGGGACTAGCCTGAGCGTCCCAGATGAATAAGATGATCCTAGGTGCATTTGGAAATCGATGTTATATTTCACAGCATTTAAAGATCTGTTTTTTCTCCCTCGATCTGTTGAATAGGGTTATTTCCATATGCCAAAGTTGATGGGAGAGAAAAATATGTTATTTAAAGGCTAGCTTTCGCAGCCACACAATGCTATGGTGTGCCTAAGTGTAGAATGAGCGCTAGCGATCATCTGTCTTTGCTTCACTATACCTCGATGAAGAGGTTGGGTGGGTGGCTTTGCTACTGAAAAAGAGGCACAGCTCGAGAGGTGAGTTTTATTTGGGGCAAAATGAGGACTGTAGCCTGGGAGACAGCACCTCAGATAGCTCTGAGAGACTGCTCCAAAGAGGCAGCGGGGGAAGGTCAGTGTATGATTTTTATGAAAGGGGAGTTCAGTGCAATCAGGCGCTTACTTTACAAGAGGTTTTCTGCTAGTCATCTGGAGCTGATGTCATCATGAAGGGATTTAGTGCTTTTCTGGATGCGAGGAGATGCAAAGATTGGGATCCTGAAATCAGTTCCTGAAAATACCTAACTCTCTAAAGACCTGTTCCACCAGATTCCCTGGAGCAGAGTGTCTCACTCCACCCTGAACTCCCTCGGGGTGCCGAAGGCCAGCAGGTGCAGCTGCTCAGGGCTCAGTCTCCGCAGAGGCAGGTGACAGATGCCCTTGTTCAATTGCTGGCACATGCTCTTGGCAAGTACCCATTTGTCATGGGTAGTTTTAAATTTTTAATTTGATGTGACTAAATTATGAAAACAGTGTGAGTGTAACAAAAATGTACTTTAACATTTTGAACTCAAATACACACTCTGCCTGTTTAAAAAGAAAAAAGGCATATTGCATTTTCATTTCCTTGTGAGTCTGAAAGTCATAAGCAAGAAAGTACCAGGTTTCAGCTTCTTTATGGCTCCAAAACCTTTCACTCCTTTTTTTCTGAATGAATAAGGTCCCCTTTATCTGTAGCCTCTACAGAAATGAATGGAAGGGCCCTCCATTATCCCGTTTCTTCCCCGTCCTTTGATGTCTGACCAGGAAAATAGGAACATCACTAATAGCCACTGAATTGAGAGAAAGTAACAGCCCACAAGCCCAGAAGCTCAGGTCTGGTTTTCTTAGGAAGTGTCTTTTCTGGGGGTAGAGTTGGTGCCACATTTGAACAATGCTTGTGTCCCCAGGGGCGTGCTGAGGTCAGAACCAGAGTGTCTTCACTTGAGCAGCCTTCCACTCCCCTGCTGCTGTTCACGGGCCCCTCCCTGTGTTCCTCTAGGCTCTCAGATCCAGCACCTGACGCAGGTGGGAATCGCCAGCAGAATCGGAGCTCAGCCAGTGGAAATCCCACCGGGCAGAGGCGGCCAGTATGGGGGGCCAGGCTGGCCTGCCTACGGGGAGGACGAAGCCGGCCGGAGAGAGGCTGTGAGTATCTCGTGTTGGGATCATCGTTGAGAATTCAGACACGATGGGTATGGATTTCAGTTTTATAAGATGAAAAGAGCTATGGGGACAAATGATGTGAAGGCTGCATAATAGTATGAATGTATTTAAAACCACTTAAGCATGGTTCAAACAGTAAATGGTATAGCTGCTGCTGCTTCTGCAGGGCAGATCTGTTTCTAAAACCTGCATAAAGTTTTAACCTCCGTTACCTTTTTTCTCCTTGAGTGTATTTTTCTTTTCATACAGTCATGCATGCATGCTAAGTTGCTTCAGTTGTATCCAACTCTGTGTGACCCTGTGGACTGGTAGCTTGCCAGGCTCCACTGTCTATGGGATTCTCCAGGCAAGAATACTGGAGTGAGTTGGCACGCCCTCCTCCAGGGGATCTTCCCGACCCAGGGATTGAACCCGTGTTTCTTTTGTCTGCTGCATTGGCAGGCAGGCTCTTTACCACTAGTGCTACCTGGGAAGTCCTTCTTACAGCCTGTAGATGGTAATTCCCTCTGACCAGACTGGGAGACTACTGGCATTGAAATCTGGAAATGTATACTGTTTTTCTCGAGGTAGATTTCAGGCTTGAAGTAATGAGGTTTCTAAAATAAAAAATAACAAAAGCAGTATTCATTATGGAAAATCTGCATAGAGACCTAAGTAACAGTTACTTTTTCCCCCCATTTTTTTTCAACTATGGTAAAATACATAGAACATAAAATTTACCATTTGAACCTGCTTAAGTTTTTTTAAATACATTCATACTATTATGCAGCCTTCACATCATTCGTCCCCATAGCTCTTTTCATCTTATAAAACTGAAATCCATACCCATTAAACACAAATTCCCCATTCTCCCTCCCCCTAGCTCCAGGCACTACCTGTAATTTTGTCTCTGTAATTTTGACTTTTAAGTCATGAATTTGAAACTGTAAAAGCTGGACTTGATCTTTGGTATCATCACTATATAAATATTCTTGATCTTGTGTACCTCGTTGCTCGCATTTGAGTTTTATTGTGGGTTTGTTAATGTCATTTCCATTATGACCACCGTGTATGCATGCTGAGTCACTTTAGTCCATGTCTCACTCTTTTTCAACCCTGTGAACTGTAGCGCACCAGGCTTCTCTGTCCATGGGATTATCCAGGCAAGAATACTGGAGTGGGTTCCCATTTCCTCCTCCAGGGGATCTTCCCGACTCAGGAGTTGAACTTGGTTCAACTTGGTTAAACTTGGATCGACATGAGTTTCATCCATGGGTCAGGAAGATCCCCTGGAGGAGGAAATGGCAACCCACTCCAGTATTCTTGCCTGGAGAATCCCATGGACAGAGGAGCCTGGTGGGCTACAGTTCATGGGGTCACAAAGAGTCGGACATGACTGAAGAGACTTGGCGTGCATGCATTACAGTCTCAGGTCTGCACTTTACCTTTGCTGACATTTTGCTTTTTCTGTGCCTGGCTTAGTTTCCTGAGTTGTTTTGAGTTTTCCCATCAAATCCAATGTGCACTTTTTGAGGGCTTCTTGGTCACAATTTGGAGAAGTGAAATGTGGAAGTTATTCCAGGGCTCAAATGTCAAGCTATCAAGTTGCTCTTACCACAAGTGAAATCACAGATGTAGTGTGTGCATATGTGTATAAAGAGATTTTTTTCACTGAAAAAAATATGAAAAAAATCACTGAAAAGTATAATTCTTATCAAAGGAATGCCCGGTTAATCCATATTTTGCCAGTGTCAGCAAAGCTAGTGTATACTTTTGTGCAGATAGCTTTAAAAAAGAAAAAGCTGTACAGAGCACTGACACGCAGACACACAGGCAGATAGGATGGAAGATGATTTTGTGATCTTGTTGCCGTTCCATGGGCCCAATATGTGTTCTTGTCACCCCTTCCTTGGGTCCTGGACTCAGAGCAAAGGCACTTGGTCTTCCTGTCGGTCCTTCTGCCAGTTTCTGCTTATCCCTCTGAGCAGACATCCTCATCAGACCTTGCCCTCTCTGGGATGCTCCAGCCTCCCTCCCTGTCCAGCTCTGCAGGGCCCTTCCGGGTTCCCCAGTGGCCCACTCTCCTTCTACACATGGCAGCACAGGGATTAGCCAGTGGGGCCAACCATGCATTCATTCTTTCTGTCTTGAAGCAAGTGTGTATAGACCCTTGTTAAATTAAGTTCAGGGGCTTCTTTATTGGACTACTTTCCCTTGAAATTTCTCTGCAGTTACATCTTTGCATTCTGGTGGTGGGAGACTGAGTTGTTGGTTGGGAGGTGGGTGGAGGGCATCGGCTGCCAGTTTGCCTCTGATCTTCCCTCCTGTTTTCCTGTGTTTGCCATGGTTTTTCAGACACACGTGCTTGGACATCAGGAGTATTCATCCCCGCTGTTCCAGGTGCCAAGGACTTCAGGCCGGGAGCCCTCAGCTCCTCCCGGGAACCCCCCTCACAGGGGGCTGCCGGGCGCCGGATTGGCCTACGCCACCAGCTCCACGGAAGACCTCCAGCCCGGCCACTCCTCAGCCTCTCTCATCAAAGCAATCCGCGAGGAGCTCCTCCGGCTCTCGCAGAAGCAGACCGCTGTGCAGAACTTCCACAGCTGATCAGCCTCGCCTTGCACATTTGCCAAGTATCCGCTTCCTGTGGAAGCAAGACTAAAAGGAAGTCAACTGAGCAGGTGTTTTTAAGAGGAGGAGCATCTCTGGGGCGAGGGGCCCAACTAAGGGAACAGGTCGAAATTTTAGAAGATGCCCCAAGTCACGTGACAGCCCATGATGCTTTTCATACGTTGGCAGTTTTGTGACCACCTGGGTTCAGTTGAAATTTATGTACTTTTGGCCAAAAGCCAGCAGCACTTCACAAAAGACCAACCACAGTTCTAAGCTAATGAAATTCCTAAGTTAGTCTCTTTCTTTTTTTTTAAGGTGAAAGATGATAATGTGTAGATGGTATAGGGATTAAAGGAACCTAGTATTTCCGTGGGAAGATGTGACTCAGACTGGTTTGTACGATGAACCTGCTGCTTTGTTTTCTGAGAAAAGAGTTTTGAAGACATTTTATTAATGGCTTGATTTTCACCCTCTTTTTCCTCCATAGGAACTTCTTTTAATAGTAATATTAACGACATGAATACTAAGACTGTTTGGGAATTTAAAAAGCTACTAGTGAGAAACCAAATGATAGATTGTAGAGCCTGACGGTTTGAAACAAAGCCATCAACTGCATCTTCCTTTTTCTGGTGCTACAGCTACAAGAGCCCCTTCACCTTGTCTGTGAAATGCAACTTTGGCTTTCTCAATAGAAGAACACGTGGAAGGTTTCATTTTGTTCTAGAAAGAGGGGAGAAAGCCTCTCCACAGAGGAAAAGCTTAATATTTATTTGGTTATTCAAAATACATATCAAAGTTTAGATTTACACTCTTAATTGTATTTGCCATTTGTTGATTGGCAGCGGCAACTGCCTATTGCATTTCATTTGAGTACATATCTTCATCAAGGCCAGTCCTATAGAATGAGGCTTTGAGGAGGTCCTGACGAATCCTGGCACTTTGCTGATAAGTTGCTCCCGGCTTTGAATGAGGAATCTTACGTAAGCAAAAATGCTTTGTCACAGTTCCTAGGACCACCGAATGGTTAGTTATTCGTGAATGCATCTGTGGTAATTGCAGTCCCTGTGTTCGAGACCTGGAAACGAGTTCTGTTGAGCCTCTTTGTAATGAGCCAAGGAAGGAAGGAGAAGCTTTGAGACCACGAGGGAGAAAGAGTTGCTCCTAATTTATGATTTTATTGTGTATAACTGTGCTGAGTGACTGAAAAAACCACCTTTGGGCCTGATGGAGGGGTCCTCTCACTTGAGATTGCCTCCTGAAGGGAATAGCTCTCCGCTTCCCAAAGTGGAGTAAAGAATAGAGTAACAAGGGCTGTTCTGTTTTCTGGGACCTGAGTGGAATGAAGAACAGAGGCAGATAACACTTTGCCATGAATCCTTTTTTATTAGCTCAATTAATATCTTTAATTAAACAACAGATACACAGGCAGAATCTGGGGCTCTGACTAATCAAAATCTCTGTATTTGTGTCAAATTTTAAGAACCCCGAAGCGGCTAAAATAGGCCCCAAAGTGTAACCACTGGCTTCCAGTGTTATGTTTCTGCGCTTCCTGCACTAAGCCCGTTATGTAGACTCAAGAGTCTCACAATCCAGGGAGAGTCAGTTCTGGGAAATTAAAATGTAGGCATTTTTTATCTTTACGCCTCTGAAACAGGAGAGGTGCAGAAGGATGCCTGTTGAGAATGTGAAATAAAGTAACGGGAGCTCCTTTTCAGGTACCCTTCCCTGGCTCCAAAGAGCAGGGGAGAGAGGACCCTCATGTGGGCTTGATCTCTTACCATTTAGTCTTGATTTAATACCAGACTTGCCCAGAGTGGAGGGATCTCTTTGCCTGTCATTCAGAAATACCAGGATCCTGAATGTGTAAGGAAGAATTTCAGAGATTCACGCAAATTCTTATTTCGGACACCTTTTGGTGAATTCAGATTGAGTGCCAGCTGACAGCCCCTCCCCTCCCCTCCTGCTCAGTGTCCTAAGTGTTCGCACGTGGAGTGTACAAATGTGGTTACCTCCTTAGCACGTGGCAGAGATGGGCCTCTGTTTTAAATGGGGCTGCGGTAGCAGTTTTGATGCCTTTCAAGCTAGCATAAGGGGATTCTGTCTATATTTTTCTTCTTAGAAGAGATACACTTTTAAACCAACGTCAAGACCAAAAATGACGTGTTATAGACAACCAGTGGTATGTGGTGGGTGTGAGCAGGCTGGTGAGATCCCCAGCACTCTTGCATTGGTTGTAAAGCACACTCAGATTGCACTCAGTTTTACTGTCAACTGACCCAGAACACATCAGCTGTCGTGGGACCACCACCCTGAGTGGGGCTTCAGACACTCAGTCAATGGAATCTACTTCAACGAGAGGTCCTCGTGGCAGTTGTGTGGCTTTGGAGTTCCATTTATTGAAACACTGCAAAATGAAAACTGACAGTTTATGTCTGTTCTTTTTTCCTGATTTTAAAAGTTCTCATGGTAGTAGCAAGAGCTATACATTTGAGTCAGAGTTTTAGAGGAGACTGTTTGGAGAAATGGTCATTTTCAGATTCTGCACAGTCACTTCCTGGCTGTGTCAGGCCCCTTGTCTGAGCCTTATTCTCCCCATCAGCCTCATGAGAACCGGCCTCCCCCGCGCACCCCCCCCACGCCCCCAGGATTTCTCATTGCAAGGATCAGGTATGGTCATGTGGGCAGACACCCCTTGAGGAGGGACCACAGAGCACTGTGAGAACGTGGGCTCTCTGTGTGATGGTGCTGGGATGGACCGTCTGATCTGCTGTGACCTCCCAGTGAATGAGCTCACGTGGAGGAAACCAGAGCAACACCAGAGGCCCCGTGGGACTCCACTTCCTCCCTCCCGATTTGCTTTCAATTCACTTCCTTCACCATTAACTTTCAGTTCTCATGCATTGTTCGGATTTTCTGCTGTTTCTGGCACCAAACATGAGCCCTCCCTTCTGAGATGTTCGGATCTGAATCAGACAACACCCTCGGGTGTAAAAAATGGAAGAGATGGGAAAATAACATGGTTTAAACGTCAGTAAAATGCACCGAAGTACACAAGTACATTAGAAGGAGGAATGGAACTTACACGTTTGGAAACGGTGGGATCTTGGGGAGAGCTCAGCATCAGAAGCCACGGAAGACAAGAGCTTTCCGGGCATGTGGTGAGATGGTGTGGGAAGAGTTGAGAGTGGGCCTGGGGAAGGATGGTGAAAGTGGTGAAGCTGCCATTGAAAATAACCTTGAACCTGGTCTGCTCCAATATGGAGACCAAATCCGTAACTGCACCATTGAAGGAGTTTTGTAAAGAGGAAGAAGTGATGTATGAGGAAACATTTGCAGGAACCCACCAAGAAAATGACCAGGCCTGGGAGGCAGGTCTGTGGAGGAAGACGTCTGTTCTGGAGGGGACGGGAGAGTCCCAGAACTGCCAGAGGGCCAGTGTCAAGTGTGAAAGACGTCCACCGAGGTCTACTGTTAAGAGCAGATCTCAAGGGTCTGTCGTTCAGCCACATTTAATCCTTTGTGGAGTGTAGTGGGTTATAAGTAAATATATTTGACTTTACAGCTACCTACACTTTTTCCTCCAAGTTGTATTTAATTTCAGAGCGTCTTTTCATTTTGGTTGTATGTGGCTTTTGAGCTGCAGACTAAGCCAGTTTTTGCCAACCACAATTTTTCAGGGCATGAGGCCTGTGATGCAGGGCACAGGTGAAGGGATGCCTGGAGGCTGCGGGCTGAAACAGGTAATTCTGTGCTTTACAAGCCTCCCATTCAACTGCGTGACAGGGTCAGTGTTCACTGTGTTTGCACAACTTAGTGCTCCAGTGACCAAACCAATTACTCGGACACAGATTGGCATTTGTAGTTAATTCAGGAGTTAATCATTAAATACATCTCTCTCTCCCTTTCATATGAGATTCCTAGACATGAATGAATTTTCTGGTTGGAAGGAGAGCTGGTGAAAGGTTCTGGGTGGGTGGGGAGGGGGTTCCAGTCTTGAGTACCACACACGCTTTAGCTGTAGATGTTTTAGCCATTTCACTTCTACCTCCAGAGCAGGTCTCCAAAGCCAGACTCCAGGGCCCACCTAACCCACCTTTGTTCCAGGCAGGAGCATGAGGAAGTCCACTTCTGCACCTGCATGTAGACCATTTGAACACACAGCATGTTTTTATGGGATGGTAACCTGAACTTCATTTTTACATTTACTCTAGCACCGTCACGGATATTCTTACAACAGGTGAGAGGGGTTTCCATCAACAGCTGCTGTAACACACTCATACACTGTATTAGGCCTACACTTGTTACCTAGTGAACAGGGAGTGTGTGCATTTCTGGTTTCTTTTGCTACCCTTGGAGGCAATTTGCAGTGTTTAAGATTCCTTTCTCTAATTTTATGAAAAAGACTTGAAAACTAAAACCTCACGGGTTTGATCCTAATTCCATGCTGTGTGTGTAACAGTACACTTGACAATTTATCTTAACACCCCAGCAGCATTGACATTTAGCAAAAGAGTATCAAATGCCTTGGAAACATGAAACAAAGTTGGGAACCAGGGAGCAAGAGAAAGAAGGAAGGAATGTCACCCTCTGAGACACCCTTCTCTAAATTACTTTCCCACGGGGTAGATCATTATGCAGACTCTTTGCTTTTCCTTCTTTCTCTGGGTTTTTCTGCTCTGGGGCCGCTTCACATTTAAAGAGTGGATAAGGAGAAGGGACAAAGAGAAAAACTGAAGTGATTTGGGTCTCACGGTCCCTGATTCCACAGAATCTTTCTGGACAACTTGGAACATCATGAATGCCCCTTCTCATGTCCACCAGGTTTCCAACGTTCATCACTTGACTCCTTGAGTGCAAGGTCAGAATAGTGCTGGGTCAGCGTCTAGCCAGGCTCCCCATACTGTTCCTCCTGCAAATGTGAGGAAGGAGGAGGGAACCCTAGGGGAACAGAGGCTCCACCAGTGGACTCCGTTGCTCTAGGCAGCAGAGGATTAATTTCAGAAAAGGGGAGTAGAAATTCTCCACTTTGCCCTCCTCCAGGGCTGGTCTCGGGAGCATGGGGGTGGAGTGAATTGCACCCTTCCAGGAAAGGCTGCCAAACCGAGCACTCTAGGGTACCCACTGGCCACCTCCAACTTTGTCAAGGTCCATGTTCTTCTAAGTTCCTGCACTCTCATCCCTAGATTATGAGTGTTAATGTACGAAAAAATGCAGAGTAAATTGAGGCCACTTGTGGCATCAATCCTGCAACTTTGAACTTGACAATCATGGTTTGCTGGTCTCAAACGGGCCCTTAAATTTCATTATGGGTAAATGATTTAGTAATTCGACCCTCTCTTCTCTTTGCTGGCTATGTTTCTTCCCTTCAATTAGCTGCACTGTTTTCTAATGTGCTGTAGAGTTTTTGAAATAATTTATGCAAGTGTTTGGTTTCCATGTTTACAATTTATACAGCTTTCCTAGCATTTTAAATGGAAATGTCAATAAATGCTCTGAATTGGTGTCAAGTGATATTTTCTGTTTATTTCCTTTGCAACATGATAGTTCTCTCATGTGCAAAATGTGAAAGTTGAATGCAGTGTTTTTTGTTCTCTGATTTTTGTGTCCGTCGTGAGAACACCTGATGCTTTCATTTTCCAAGGAATTAAGTTGAAAGTAGTCTATTCAGTGCATGGAATTTGCAGAATTGTTGTCACTCAAGGTGGTTGGCACCACTCCTTTCATCTCACTATTTTGCTTTACAGGCTCTCCACTAATCAAATCGATGGTTCCACTAAGAGCAGATTCATTTTGGAATTAAAAGATTAGGACTATGATCTAGAAAGATAACTGAGAAGATCCTCATCTATGCAAACTTGAAGGGTAATAGGATAAACCTGGAGTTGTTTACGAAACTCAAGAAAATAAAAACCCCTTGAAACTGAGAAAAGCAAGAGGAACTGCAAAACACAGAGGCACACAACAAAGGAAGGAAATGTGGAAACCTGGATAGGATTCTGGACAACAAAAAGGTTATCAGTGGGAAAAAAGGGTGAAATCTAAATACAGCCTACAGTGTAGCTAGCAGTATTGTACAGAGATTCCTTTATTGATTTTGCTAACTTTAGTATTAGGGGAAGCTATAGAAAAGGTATACAGAAACACTATTTTTGAAGTTTTTCTCCAAAGTTAATTGAAATTTTAAAAACTAATCTGGTACAGATGAAGCCCAAAGGTCCTCACAGCGACTATTAAGAGCCTGCCCTGGGCATCCATGAACCAGAACTTGCCTCACTTCTCAAGGCAGTCGGCTCCCGGTGAAGTGGAAACCACAGTTAATGATTGCACGTCTTGGCAGAAAACAAGGCTTCATGACGGAGACTTCACAGGATCAACCAGCAAGGAGAACTTGAGCCTAAAAATTGGAGGGAGTAGACCACTATGAAGAAAGCTTTAAAGTATGTTTCTGCTGTTTACAGAGCTTAAAAAAAAACTAGTAACAGAAAGACAGTGTATCAGGAAAGTTTAAGCACACTGACAAAACTGAAAATCCATGAAAGAAAAAGGGATTTTTAAAAATACATATATACACCCTGGTAAGATATGCCAATACTTTAGACATACCTGAAGAAATAAATGTGATAGTTTTAAGATACTTTTATGTTCTCTTTTCATCAATATTGAGTTCAAAGTCACTCAGTCGTGTCTAACTCTTTGCAACCCCATGGACTATATACAGTCCATGGAATTCTCCAAGCCAGAATACTGGAGTGGGTAGCCTATCCCTTCAGCAGATCTTCCTGACCCAGGAATCGAGTCAGGGTCTCCTGCTATGCAGCCGGATTCTTTACCAACTGAGCTATCAGGAAAGCCCTGTTATACTTCAGATTAAAACCAGGGGACTACCTGGCACGCCGTGTTCCCCTAAGAGATTTCACGTGCTCTGATTGTGAAAAGGTTCAAAATAGTAGAACAGGGAATTAGGAGAAGCAGCTAAGGCTTAGGAGAAAGGTCAGGCTGGTCCCACACGCAGTTCCACTGGGTTGACTTAAATGTGGATTTAAACCAATTTGGCATTTTTTTCTCTCTCCTCTTCCATGTTGCACCTGCCATGCACAGTCTCAGGTAAGAAGAAAACAATAAGCAAAAACAAGAGATCCTTGGTCCAGTGCCTGGGTTAGGTGATTAATGAAATATTTTTATTGTTGTTGAGTTGCACACTATTTATTTAGTAACTTTCTTCCTCTAAAGATCTCCCTCACCTTCCTTGCTGGACCTTCCTAGGGGAGTAACTGGAGGTGGTATGTGTTTGATCTCTCTGGTGTTGGGAGACTGGAACAATTATAGTCACAAATCTAAGTAGCCCACATTCATGTAGTTAAACAACTATCTGTCATACTTGTGCCAAAGGATAGAATTACAGAAGTGTGGAACACAGAACCTATCTGGACAACTCTTATTGTAAAGTTGTTTTAGAGTAACTGGCTCATAGGTGGTTACATCAGTACCCTGAAAATACTCATTAGTGTAAGTATTTAGATTTTGATTCTGTGATACAGTGATATTCCTGAAATTAGTGGTTTCTTTCATTTCAGTTCAGTCGCTCAGTTGTGTCTGACTCTTTGTGACCCCATGGACTGCAGCACACCAGGCCTCCCTGTCCATTGCCAACTCCCAGAGTTTACTCAAACTCATATCCATTGAGTCGGTGATGCCATCCAACCATCTCGTCCTCTGTCATCCCCTTCTCCTCNGAGATTTTTCTAAAGAAAACATCAGTATGAAGAGTTTTTTGTTTGTTTTGTTTTGTTTAAGAATGACTTAAAATCTAAAATGGAGTTGCTGCATTTTAGTACAAATGTTGGTCTTCAAACCAAAGTATTTCTTCCTTGTGCCTGTTTTTGAAGAATAGTAGAGATGTTCTGCTTTTAGAAGAAGTGAGAAGTAGCTATTCCCTTTAGAAATTCCTAAAGCTGTGTGTGTGGGGATTGGGGTGGGGGGTGGGGGTAGGCTGTGACGGGGGAGGCAGGGAAAGAAAGAAATCATGACCTGGATTTAAAGTCAAGAACCAGCAGGTGTTTTGAATGTTGGTTTCCTTTTATATTTCCCTGATACTGTTCTTTCTGGATTCTTTGCAAGACAAATATAATACACAAGTTACGAGTAAAGTTCTTGAAAAAAAAAAAAAGATGTAATTAACCATTAAATCAGAACATCATATTATTGCAGGTAACCCATTAACCCCAATCTTTTTCCATTTTATCTTTTCTGGACAAAATGTAGTTTAGTTAAAAAGGAAATAAAAACAGTATAACTTCACCATTAGAGATACTGCAAAAAAATTTTTTTTTAAATTTTAATAAATCTCAGTCAATTTAATCTTGTTTGGTGATTGGGACTGATCAGGGTGATTTACTTTCTAATTGATCTAAGAAGCTATTGATTTGGTTTCCAAAGAATACAAGGGCTGGGGGAGGGTCAGGAATAGGGCAAAAGCATTAGAATTGGTACAGGGTATAAACTGGAAAGAAAAGTGGGATATGTGCCTGGGGACCTTCCACTGCTGGAGGAAAATGGCACCATCACCTTGAGAACCCCATCCCTTTGTGGCTAATTCTGCGGCTGCCTCTAGGGAGCACTGCCCGATTGACCTCCTGACACATTTCATGGAATTTTGCAGGAACTTCACAGTGCTTGTAGCTGAGATAGGGGACTTCATGGACAGGGAGGCCTGTTCAGAAAGTGATATCCCATTTCTAGCCTCGGCTTTAAGGTAACTCAAAAGCTCTGCCTTCTGCTCATAAGCTGCTTTGGGGGGACTCTGGTGAAAAGTGTCTGCCTCAGTGTCTTTCTCTTCACTGGCTGACTGGGCACAGATATCAACTTTCCATAACATATTTCCTCCCAGACTGCCTACCTCTCTCTCTCCCCAACCCACTGATGGATGAACCAAGAATAACATCTCAAGTATTTCTGTAGGATCAAAAGTTGCTTTAGCCTATGACAGAGTCCTCCATGTCTCAGCCCCTTTCTGGATAATTAAGGTTTCTGTCTTTTGAGGTTACTGGCCCCTGGACCTCAGAAGTTAAAGAGTTTGTATGCTCTTTCCATCAATGGGTTCAGAGTGACTTACTGAATTTGAGATGCCTCAACATGTAGAAGGATGGTATTGTGACGAATGGCAAGCAGAATTACAAATGAAGTTGACAGGCTAAAACACAGGAAAAGAATGTTAACAGAATTTCATTTATTCCTATGAAACTTAAAGTTCTACTCCATTAAAAAAATCTATAATATGCATATATGATAAAGGGAATATGGTCTAACAGGACTTTATGGGAAAAGATTTGAGGATGTTAACTGACAGTCTAGGGGCCAGTAGGAGCACTGGAGATGTTTGGGGAGCAACCCTGACTTAGACATTATAAATAGTAACATGTCGCCCTGTAAGAACTTCTATCTCCCAGGTCAGTTACATGAAGAATCCAGGCACTCTATTTTGAAAGAAATGTTCATGAATTGGATGGAAAGACTAGGAGAAAGGGAGCCAGAATGTAAGGACTGGAAACCATCTCCTTTGAGAAAGAAATCAAGAAGCTAAGTGTTTGCCCTGAGGAGTGAAGGCTTGTAGGAGACAAAGCTATCTTCAGATGTTCAAAGTGTCATCATGAGAAAGAGAATTGACTTGCTTTACATATTTGATTGTATTTTGGAAGACATAACTAACAACCCAAGAAAGTTGGTCTTGGCCCAGTTAAAAGAAAGAACTTATCAATGATTTCAGTAGGTCAGCACAGAAAAGTCATCTCTAGAATTTCTTCCCGTTGGCTTCTCATGAGGACCTTCTTCCATGGCACTAAGCCTGTCCCCCCATGGCCTCCAGCAGAAGGACTGTATCTCTGGGCATTGAGACCTCCCTTCCCGCTCAGTTCTTTTCCAAGATGCTCATGGGGCAGTGAGGAAGAAGGGGAGGCTCTGGACACCTGGAACGGAGATGATGCTATGGATAGGACTGAAAAAAAGCAGCTCAGGCTCTCCCCAGAGTCAGTACGGTGAGGGGACATCCATCTCCCTGCCTCATTGTGCTTAGTTATGCCATAAAATGAAGGAAGGGCTAGATGTTGTTTAGTATGTTTAGATGATGTTTAGTATGAAAAAGTAGCTGTGAAAAAAAAAGTAGTTGTGAATAAAGTTGATTGGCTTAAAGACTTGCTTCTATAGTTAGAACATGGTGTGTTATATGTATACGAAAGTGAACAATTTCAATTCCAGCATTGAGAATCAAATGGAATGGCAAATAAATTTGCTGAAAACTGACTCATCTGATAATACTGCAGATACATGAGTGCCTTCTTTAAATAAACATTGATCGAGTACCAGCTCTGTGATAGGTACTGTTATAAGCACCAGGAACTTGGAATACACTGGGGAATAAGACCAATCTCATGCTCCAATAAACAGCATGGAGGCCATCAGTCTCTGGAGTGCTGGCGAAAGAAGTTAGCCTGGACACAGTGTCAAAGAGGAATAGG